GGTACATTACGTAGTCCCTTCTTAAATGGTTCACTGATCCCGCTCCACTTGGGATCCCTTCTTCCTTTATTAATTAACCAATCAGAGGTTGATCTTGGGTCGCACAATAGATTATGCACGCCTTCATTTCCATTTCCTTCCGGGCTCAGTTCCGAATTTGGTAATTGGGAAAGTGTCGGAAGGTGGCGAGCCTTTTCCATTGGTCACCTCTCTTTGGTTGCCTCATCCCTCTCTGGGACTTGGCTAGAAGAAGGGTCCGTTTGGCGTGGTCAATTTTCCAATGCGATCGACCAGATGTGGCATAGCCAAGAACAATGCAAGCATTGTCTTAAAGGCCGAGTGCGCACGTACGGCCATTGCAGGTTATTGCACGTGCGGGGTTTTGGGTTCCAGTGAATCAAGTAAATGTTTTGTACTCAATGCTTTATGCATATCTGATATTGGTTCTGAATCTACTTTGGGGTTCTCCAGGTAATAAACCCATTAGGTTCTACTGCACTGGGAGTATGAGCACGTTTCGCTAGAGTTTCCAGATGTTTTATGACACTAGTGCAAAATAATTATGAGCAGGAAAGTTTTGAAGTCTTAAATACAATTTTCATGATATTACTTGCCAGGTGTTTTATTGCCTTACAAAAAGAAGTCTCTGATTCTCAAACAAACAGCCTTGTAGAACGTTTGAGAATCTAAGCTTTCAGCTAGTTGGGATTTCGGTGAGAGAAAATGTAAACTTTCTGAGAACCGAATGCCTCGAATAATTGCTCCAATTTTGAACAGTATATGCTATAATAAAAATTAAAAAAAATTGTGATATAGATTAGCCCTAAAAGAATAAGTACTTTTTACTTAATATACTATTATAATAACATTACTTATTATATATGGTAATACATCCTTTTATTATTATAATTATTTATAAAAAGTTATATAAATATTGTGAACTTCTTATGTATTGTTTATTTAACTAAAATTAAAGATTAATCTAAATATTTAAATTATTTTAGTTGCCAGTGGTAGACCCTTTTTTGGAAAAAGTTTCACTTTCCGATCTTGGTAAGTACGTGGTAGATTATACAGTATTTGTAAATAAACTATGTAATCTCCAAATTTATAATAATAATAAAAGTAATATATTTAATGATAATGCCTCATTTTAAGATTATGAAAATATAAAGTTAATAAGATATCATTTTAATTTAGATTAATAAAACCGCTATACTTACATACATTATAAAGATTCTCTACTCAACCATATTTAGTTTGAGTCTTAAATTTTATCTTATATTTTACGTATAAATAAAACCTTAAAATAAATTTCTATTTATTATTAATATTAATATAAGGAAATGTAATATATTTTTTATATATTAAAAATGAATATAAAATAGTTCCTTGTTGTAAATAACCAAGTCATACAGCATATGAATTTTATATCAAATTTTCATAATATTTAAGTGTCAAATTTATATTGCATTTATCTTTTCAAGCAAATATTGAATAATTTAATTTTTTATGGAAATGTGTACTGCATTAGACAGTAATTTTTTTATAATAAAATTATATTATTCAAGTACGAATGTATATACTATATAACAGTGCGATAAATACGATTTTAGAATAACAAAAAATTGTACTGTTTTAATACAAAAAAATTTTATTTTTTCAGAAGAAGACGAATCTCAGATCTTTATTAAATTTTTTAAGTTTCACAAATGCTACGATCTTATACCAACGAGTGCTAAACTGGTAGTTTTTGATACACACTTACTTGTTAAAAAAGCTTTCTTTGCTCTTGTTTATAATGGTAAGTATATTCATGAATTTAAACATATAATGCATTTGAATAAAATTGATATTTATTTATAATAATTTTGTATTCTGTTGATGATATGAATATATTATTTTACATTTTAAACCTACAGTATTAACACTAATGTATATTATATATATATATATATATAAATTAATATATAAAATAAATAAAAAACATAAAAAAAAATAATTTCAAATTAAAATGGAATACATATAAATTTTAATAAAATTGAAAGACCAGCTATTAGTTGAGTATGTTTTTAATAAAATACATAAAATCTTTAGAAAATGTGATATATAATAATTATTATAAATTATATTATATATAAATTAAATTTATATAAATTATATTTTTATAAAAGGAAATGCGTAATTACAATTAGAAACACTGAACATGTGCGTGTAAAATATTTATTATTAATAATGCCGACGTGCGGTATTTACATACATAGAAGGGTATATTGGAAATATTTGGAGAAACTTATAAAATAGTAATTGTTAAATAATTATGACGTTCCTCTATAGTATTGCTTAACTCATTTGTTCATTTCCAAAGTGATTTCAATAAACGCTCATTTTCACGTCACGTGATCACATATTTTAAATAGGTGATTCATATTTCCAGTAACACCGATGGTTACGAATTTATTAGTGTTATTTCTCGCTCATATTGCACATGAGTACTAGAGAATATTATCCAGAGTGCTTCATAATTATTGCAGATACTTTTTATTACACAATATATAAATATACTGATGAATTCTAATACACATTCATAAGAACTATATACTTATACATTATTCGTACATAAAGTTACATAAACATGTTTATTTATTTTTTTGTTTAACGTATTGATAGCGATTCTATCCTTATGAAATATAATAGTATTTGTTCGATTTTTAAGGTTTCGTTTATGACTCGAACTACCAATTCAATAGTTCAGTGGATTAGTCTCTCGGCAGGATAACTTTAAAGGAAATAATAAGTGGAAGGGCTGACAAATATTATATATAATGTAATTTCAGTAAGATCAATGTTTATTATTTGTTAATAATTATAATAATAATACTGCAAGGTTGTTGAGAAAGAAGTATGCTATTGTAGTACTGAGGGTGTATCCTTGTACTCTTGATTATCGTAGATTTTATAGACATTACTGCGTGTCTTGTATTTGAGGTAATGTAAATATCAGCTGGTGTAGTCAGTCAATCATGCTTATGAGGTAGCATGAGAAGATGGTGTTTGAATCAAGTATGTTTGATGTATGAATAACTATACTTAATTTGGTGTAGGATGTTTAATAGAACTTGTCGAATAATCAATTATATTTTGAATTATTTATGGAGGCAGAAGAAAAGACTAGTCACACACTAGAGTAATTAATGATAAGTCTTCGTGCTATTGCAGGATTTATTGAAATGTATTTATAGTTAATTATTCAATATATTGTTGTCTGGTCTTGACAATGTGCTTGACGAATTGCGTAACTTGAGTTGACTCTTATGGGCCTGTACGGGGTTGAAGCGTTGGTCCGACCGAGAGAGAGACCGTACGCGGTCGAAGCGTTGGTTCGACTAAGAAAGAATATAAATTGCTAGATTTATTTGTTTATTTAGTGTGACTAGCTTATTATTAATATAAAAATGTACCTTGTGAGCTGCAGACAAGGTGTGTTATTTGCTGCGTAATTGATGTTCCCTTTGATTACTATTACATTGGCTTCACTGTAAATCGCTACTAAATCTGCCGATTTCCTTTTAATAATGCACACGTATATTATTTACTAGGCTGCCGAATTTATGGCCACGTGTCCTCGTCACAGTATATTCTAAAGACACTGAGCGGCAATTACAGTTTAGTGAGCACGAAGTAGGATTACAATGAGCATCGTCACATGGCGAGCTGCCCTTAAATATGCATGCAGCGGATGCAACGCCGGCAACAGTGCCGAGGCATATCGTCATACCGAAATTCTTTGTGGCGTTAGAAAATGAAGCTTCTAGAAGTTTCGTGGACGTTCTTCCTTTGTGAGATCTTATAGTATATTATATCTCAAATCGTAAAACTAGCTCGGACTTGTCGAGTTTTGTTTATAAACATTCGTCCGATAGCACGTGCCGTGCGCCGTACAGCGCGTATGACCCACTTTTTTTTAAATTCGTGGAACTGTGACAAACCCGAACAGTATTCATAACATACAATAGGCATATGATTATTCATGCCTTGTTAAAAGATTCCACCAGGATATTACATTTGAGAAATAGAATAACGACCACGAGTAGAATAGTGGTTATTGCAACATATATTGTAATTCTTTTGTCTTATAAAATAATTTAAATTTATTGCATCGAAATTTTAATTAAAAAATAATTAAATTTATTTCTTTAGATATTTAAATTGTTTGTGATACAGTATAACTAAAGATTGATTTATAAAATACACGAAAACGTTTTACAAAGATTAAATTAATGAACTTTGTAATGTCTGTGTATTGAAAACCAACTTGAAAAGTAAACATTAAATATATAATAAATAAATTGTATGTATTCAAATATTTCTTCTGACAGGAAGAAGCAAGAAGATAATAAATACAAATGGGTTTTAATAATATAATATATATGTGCTTGGGAATTTAATTGTACTTTAGAAGTATATTTGAAAATCCTAAATGACAATAAAAATTTAATAAAGAAGCTAATGTGAATATAATAATATTTCATTAAAACAAACTTTCCATTAAAAAAATGGAACAGTATTTCTTTAGGAAGATAAATATCTCCATTAGTGATTCTTCTATATTTAGAAATGTTTCTTCTACATTGCATAGTTTCAAATTAGTTTTTTTATATTTATTTAAATTTTTATGTTTATTTTTCATAATTAATATACATTTTCTGTTATTTATAATATATTCATTCTGTATTAGGAGTTAGAGCTGCACCTTTATGGGATAGCGCTCAACAGCAGTTTGTAGGAATGTTAACTATAACAGATTTTATTAAAATACTACAAATGTATTACATTAGCCCGTCGGTCACAATGGACGAGTTAGAGGAACATGAACTAGAAACATGGAGAAGTGAGTATACAACAAAATTTTTTGGAGTTACAAGTAACATATAAGTATTTTTTTATAATACATTGTACAAATATTATTTACACTCATGAAATTTTCTTAAAAAATTATTTACAAATTTTTATTTAAAATTAACATATGTATATAGCAATAAATATTTATAACGGTTTTTAGTGTTTTGAGATTTCGAAAATTTTATAAAATTTTTATATTGCAAATTTATTAGCTGACTATGCAGTATGTTTAAGCTTAATTACTTCCAGAAGATTTAAAAAATAGTTTGTAAAAATAATCTGAAACAAAAATTTTGTATTTTAACTACATTTTTTTATTGAAAAATGCTGGAAATCTTTCAAAATTAAAAATAATAATTTGTTTTGTAATAAAGTACTAGCATATCTTACATCTACAAATCTTATCTATCTTTATGTTGTTAAAATCCTAGTTTCTATCTGTTTCCTTTTATATTTAAAATTTATATAAAAATGTAATACATTATTTTTAATAATGGATAGGTCGAAGGAATATTGTTTTCATTCTTTTTAACAAATCAAATTTGTAAATGTTTGTACATGTAAATATTTGATATTGCAAATATAAACTCTGTGATACCTTAATTATTTATCATCAATATCTGTATCAATTCATTCATGGTTTGCAATGCCTTCATTTATTTCAATTTCTTATATCCTTATTTTTTTAATTATTACTTTGTCTGTTATATTTCTATTCTATCTCATATATTTAATATTATTTTATAAAAAAAATTTTTCATATTAAACTTTTTTTTTCATACCCTTTCTTGTATTAATAATAAATTACATACACTTGAACTATTTGGAATGTATTATCAAATGACACTTTAATTTAAAGAATTCTTCATTGGTGTGGTATCCGTTCATTTGATATAAATTAGTTACATTGCAAATATTCAATTTATACGTTATTCACTCTATATTTTCTACGTACATTATATGTAATTCCAATTATATTTGTCAAATATATATTTCGAAAATGTTATGTAATAAGTATTCTATATCAAGGCTTGATAACTAATATAATATAATTTTTACATTGTTTAAAATATTATAATACATTTGCTTATCAGTTGAATTAAGTTCTGTTCCTTTTATATTCTATTGTTTTTTTGTATTTATCACTCATTAATAAATTACCTCTATTATTTATTTATTTTTTATCCTATACGTATACTTAATTTGTAAATTATAAATTACTTTCTTCCGTTCTCATAATAACTTTATAAACCTGACTATTGACTTTTTTATGTTACTTAGTTCTTAGTTTTATATAGCAGACATTTTTTGTCTACGTGTAAATGAAATGCGAAAGTATTTGTATATTATATTGTAATAATACGTAATTTTTTGCAAATAAAAATTAATCAAGTAAAAATCATTATATTCACTTTCTCTTTATTTTTCTTACTAATATATTAATTTTTCATGTTCCATCATCTTCGTTAAAACTTTTTATGTCTAATTGTATTTAATCTTGAATTATCTATTCATATATTATTTTAAAAAATTTTATATATTTTGATTGTTTTGCTTATTACATCTATTTTATTTTTAATATACTGTTATGAGAATTATGAATATTAAAATATGACTTTAAAATTCATTAGTAAAAATTAATATAATTTCAAAGTAGTTCTATTTCACTCATAAAATCCATATATTTTCTATGAAATTAATTTGATTTCCGAATATTCTAAAATTGTAATATTTATAAATATTCTTATTAATAAAAAAATTCCTTAATTGTTTCAGTGAATTATATTAAACAAAATTGTCTTATCTTTGAATTATTTTTAGCTTTATTTACTAACTAAAAAATATATTATAAATATGACTATAATTTGTTCTTGTAGTAGAAAAAACACTAACATGTAGAAAAAAGTTTTCAGTTTTCCAATTAAGAAAATTGAAATCGATCTATCGATGACTTTGATTCATTATTACCTGTTAATTTATATTCTATAACATATATAATACATTATTATTTTACGTACATTAAAATTAGCAAATGGAAGTATATGATAAATTACATATTACGTATTAACAAATTCTTAAAAATTCTTTATCCATTTAATTTGGTATTTGATAGGAAATCTTTTATATGTATAATATTTTATAAATTATTATCAACACAACATCTAAAATCATTAATAATTAATAATAATACATGTTTAGAATTCCCGTCATCCAGTGGTCGAAGGACCAGGATGTGTTGGATTAGACTATGACCACCAGTTGCCTGGTGGGGTAAAGAAGTACGGACAAATGGAAAGAATAGCGCATTTGTTCAATATTTAACACATTTGCTTATCGTGCTGTTTATTGCCTTCTATTTTATAATATTCATGATAATAATGATTCTACGATAGCGTTTGCGAATCGGTGAGATCTTTCAGTACGGTGACGGTTGCCACGTCGCGTTGCATTCACTACATACAGAGGTAGGAGGTCATAAATCTCTGGTACTTCTTCGTGCAATGTCACGTGATTGTAACGTTTTATATAGACGAAGTTTTATTGGTTACACGTGGGGACATTTCCCTCTAGAAGAGGATGAAACTGAAGGCTTGTTCATTCCGTGGCGGCTCTGCTGAGAAATCCCGACTGTTCCATGAAGGTCCTGCGAAGACAGACCGTAGTCCGTGTTATGGCGTCTTCACTGAGAGACGTTAATAGAGAGAGCGAGAGTGAGGCGTGTCGCGTGCTTCCATTAAATATCTGCGTGGAAGTTTACTTAGCTGGCAACAATGCATAGGTGTTGGTATGTCGAAAGTCTTGCATAACGTCAGAGAATAAAGCTCTAGAACTTTGGAAAACTCTAGGAAAGCTAAGCTTTAAAAGGTTGGAGAATTCCAACCGACGAAAATAAAGCTTAGAATATTTGAGAATTCGCGGAATCAATGTTTACAAACACGAGAGTTAAAAGGCTCTAGATTTATATATAAGGCTCTAGAATAGAAGAACTCCGATTTTCAAAGTCTTGGAAAATATTCCAATTTCGAACAATACAATTAAAAAAGATAAAATAATTTGAACAGTTAATAATTGTTACATTTATAAGAATGAATGCATTTAATTAAGTAATTATTTAAAAAGTTCACTAAAGTTTTATTTTTACAGAAGTACTTAAAGAACAAGTTCAACCATTAATCAGTATTGAACCTGATGCTTCTTTATTCGATGCTATCAAAATCTTAATAAGTAATAAAATTCATCGCTTGCCAGTGATAGATCCTACTACTGGAAATGTGCTATATATATTAACTCATAAAAGAATATTGCGTTTCCTTTTTCTTTATGTAAGTATTTATATTGTAATATATCGTATTAGTATTATTAGACTCTTATTTTAGTATATTTTCCTATAAATTTTCTTTGTGTTTTCGAATTTTAAAATGTACAGTTTGTTAACAAATTTTATATTGTGGTCAAATATACTTACGAATGAAATTGAATATTATTATATTTCTTATTACTTTTATGTAGCTTTCCTTTGATAATATTTCTTATATATTTTATTAATAAAAAAGGAAATACTGATTGATTAAATTCAACAATGATGTCTCAATTAAAAGAAAATATTTTTTTTCACAACATATAACTAAATTTTTAATCATTTATTAATTGAATATATTGATAAAAGTAAATTAAGTTTTAATGTTCACAGTTACATATGATGAAATATTATAGAGTATCTATTATGATATTCCTAGTAAAACGGACAATAATTGATATATTTTTTTAGAAATATAAAGTATATCTATTTAGAAATTATGCATGATTTAAAAAGAATTAGCATGACAACATTGGTTAAACAAAATTGTTTTGTATATTATTGAGTATGCCTAAATAAATGCATATGTAATAGATTCTTAAATATATTCTATTTAAAATGAATGTAATGTTATAAATAATTTGTACGTCAAATTTTTTCTAAAAAAAAAGTAATTGGAAATTAAAAATAAAATTTAATTATTTTTTTCACACTTTAATTATTAACTATTAATATGTTAATAATGCTTTTGTAACAATGATTTATATTTTTGTGAATGAACGATTGTGAATTCTAAAGTTAATTTTTTATTTTATTATATATTCTTATTTACCTTATTTTTCATATTATATATCAGTTTAATCATGTAGAACACACTTTTTATTAAAAAATTTTTATGTTAATAGTTATTCTACTTAATGTAATTTCAGTTGCTTTAGGAATTAATAAAACCGTATATAATGATTACGTTTCTAAATTTTATTGAAAAAATGGGCTTCCCAGATATTTTTGTATTAAATTCTATTCGGAAACAGATATAAAATCTAGAAAATAAGACGAAAAAAATTATATTTTTTAAATTATAGAAAATTTTTAATTTTTAATTACAGTTTTTATTAATATAAATAATTTGTTTTATATTAATAATCATATATTCATGAAATATTTATAAAAGACGAAAAAAATGAATGCATACGAATTAATTGCAATTCTTATTTAAAGTAAAATAGTAAGACTTTTATGATTCGCCTAATTATCAGAGTTCTATTTCATTTTTTTTTATGAAAATTATTGGGGGGGCTAATAATTAATATAATTATTATAGAGGGCGAAAAAATGAATCATTTTAATTTGTAACAAATCTCTGATTTACAAATATGAATTTCGTACATTTTACTTATAGTTTAAAGTACAATGTGTGTTTGAGAATAAGAGACTCCGTTTAGTAAGGCAATAAAATATCTGACAAGTAATGTCATGAAAATTGTATTTAAGACTTCAAAACTTCCTGCTCATAATTATTTGTACTAGTGTCATAAAACATCTGGAAAACTCTAGCGGAACGTGCTCATACTCCCAGTGCAGTAGAACCTAATGGGTTTACTGCCGGGAGAACCCCAAAGTAGATTCGAAACGAATATCAGATATGCGTAAAGCATTGAGTACAAACATTTACTAAAACCCAAAACCCGTACGTGCAACAACATGCAATGACCATACGTGCGCACTCGGCCTTTAAGACAATGCTTGCATTGTTCTTGGCTATGCCACATCTGGTCGATCGTATTGGAAAATTGACCACGCCCAAGCGGACCCTTCTTCTAGCCAAGTCCCAGAGAGGGATGAGGCAACCAAAGAGAGGTGACCAATGGAAAAGGCTCGCCACCTTCCGACACTTTCCCAATTAGCAAATTCGGAACTGAGCCCGGAAGGAAGTGGAAATGAAGGCGTGCATAATCTATTGTGCGACCCAAGATCAACCACTGATTGGTTAATTAATAAAGGAAGAAGGGATCCCAAGTGGAGCGGGATCAGTGAATCATTTTAAGAAGGGACTACGTAATGTACCCTCACTTACTCTTTCCAAATACTTCTTACAGTGAAGGATAAGTTACGACCAACTCTCACGGAGGAGGACCGGAGAGATGAGTCGTTTAGCTAGCTGAGTTTTAATAATAAGTTCTTTCCACTATTGTGAATTAGTGTACAGTTGAATTGATCTCATCAAGACTGGATTGCGTGGGACCTGACCACTTGTGGTCTCACTTGGAGACAAGGAAGAACTGAAGAGTTGCAACATTGCAAGGGAACGTCATAACAAGCCACCGAAGAGAGACTGGAAAATCACGATACACTGCAAGTAAGTCCTTACAGCTTGTACTCATTCTTGATTTCTCGGCTTATGTAGAAGACGGACGGATAAAGTCCAACTACGGAAGCTTCCCGGACATACTCTTGAATTAGACCAGCTATAAAAGCCACATTGGCTTCTCAATCTCTCCAACTACAAGTTGTTCCCGACACAGATGGCGCAGAGCTTCGCATAACCTCCATCTCGGCTTTCTTACGACCGATATTTAAAGTCAACTACACACGTGTTAAGATAAACACAATGGCATTCCAGTGTTCGATCAGAGCACTACAATCATGATAACCTCTTAGTGATAATATTCAATAGATTATAACCTGCTTCATTCATAGTAAATATATTTCAACACCACAAGATTATCAAGAAATATAAAGTTCGTCTGTAATTCACCCTTTTGTAAATCAATTTAAATAAATAGAAATAATAAAGACATGTTAATTATTAGTCAGTGCATTCACCCTTTACTTGCCCGGCAACCCCACATAACATCTAGTGGGTTTTATTGTTCTAAGTTAATTATTGCACGTTTGGCTGACTAGTCAAATTGTGGGATTATTTTCCGAACAATGTGCATTCTGTATTTATCAAATACTTTAGAATATATTAATAACTTTAATACACTGAATTATATAAAAATTTACATACGATCAACATTATTTAAATGTTGTAAAAATTTAAATAATCTTGTAATAACTAAATAAATATATTTGTTTAACTGTTAATAGATACGAATTAAAAAAAATATTTATTTTTTGTATGTAGAAATATTTTATGAAATTTATTTTACCTTGACGCTCTATAAATTCAAGACTATCAAATTATATTTTATGTATAATTTTTTTTTTACTGATGAAATACATTTGCAAATCATAATGGATGCGTTTTTCTTATTTAATTATTCAATTCAATAAAAGTTTTTTTCTATATATTTATTTTAAAGTGATTTTATTTCTTTTAATTTATTATAGTCGTCCATTTATGTAAGTTGTTTAGAAATTTTCACACATACATTATTAAAATATTCAAATCATATATAAAATATTAACATAGATAAATTTAAATTATAGAACATATGAATTTTTCAACAGTCTAAAATTGCAAAATAGTGGCGTCTGTTTTAATAATGTTTATGTTATAATAATAAAATTTATGATTAAAATCAAATTTAAATTAAACATTGATTTTTAATTCAAAGTTAATTGGAAAGAAAATATAATACATCGATTATATCCATGCAATTCTCTTAAAACTAAATTGCAACCATTCCATATTTTGTATTTTTTGGAAAAAAAAGAACTATTATTATACTTTAATATATATTTAATTATTCGAATGGTTATAAGCTTGCTGCTATGCTATGTCCTTGATGAAATAGTAAGTAATGAATAGTAAACCGTAAAAAGCTTTTACACAATAATTTATAAAGAATTTTTAATAAATTACTCAGTTTAATTAATTTCGATAATACATAATTATACACTGTTAATTTCTCAAAATATTTTATTTTTGTATTTGTGAAATAAGTTTATATATAGTATTCCAAACAAACCGCGATTTTTATCAAGAATATGTGAAATCAATTTTTAGTAATCTTATATTTCTTTTTTATTACATCTCTGTAGATTAATGAGTTGCCAAAACCATCTTTTTCAAACAAGACATTAAAAGAATTACAAATAGGAACTTTTGAAAATATAGAAATAGCTACTGAAAACACTAGTATAATTTTAGCTTTGAAGAAATTTGTAGAGAGGCGAGTGTCAGCACTACCAATAGTTGACAATGATGGCAAACTGATCAATATTTATTCAAAGTTTGATGTTATCGTAAGTTTAATAATGAAATATAAATTTAATATGCTTTAAAAAGAAAATCTGTATATATATTTATTTCAGAATTTAGCAGCCGAAAAGACATATAATAATTTAGATGTGACTCTTAGAGAAGCTAATGAGCATCGTAATGAATGGTTCGAAGGAGTGCAAAGTTGTAAATTAAATGAAACTCTTTTTACTATAATGGAAAAGATTGTAAGAGCAGAGGTCAGTTAAAATTTACAGTTATTGAGTATATGAAAAATGTTAAATATTTACCAGAATATCGTCGGTGCATTATGAATAATATTAAAATAAGTTTCATTCTATTTTTTATTTGTGCTTCTATTAGAAAATCAAAACATAATTCATCATTTATAGTTTCCAGGAATACAACATAAATACACGACTCTTTAGAATATTTTTTTAGTGAATCAGCAATACTCAAATACTTACAAATTTACTACCTTCAATAATAACATTTTTAAGAATTCAGATCTAATGTAATTTTTTTAGTAACTGTAGAATTTAGTTTTTAATAATTTTTGTAATTTTATAATCAAATTAATTATTATTTAAATTTGAGATCTTACGTGTAATTTAAACTAGTTCGTTTCAGACGATTCCAGTAATACATATTTTTGTTAAAATCTTAATTGAAAATATATTACAGTATTTATTAATTAAATTATTATTGCCTTGAATCCTTGTAATTATAGAAGTATTTAATATTCAAAGATAATTGTAGAAGTCTAAATATTTAAAGATTATAATAAAATTATAGAATTATATGATATTAAAAGAATTCTATAATAATTATGAATATATATTTTTATAATCAAAATTGAACTTCTATCGATTATATATAGGTATGTCCATATTATGTTTGAAAATTACAACGATAAATACGTATAATTATATTCGGTAATTTTATTGTATAAAAATATAAATATATATTTTTAACTTTAAAAAATAAAAATATGTATATAATATATATTTTATTCAAATCACAGTATTTCTAAAAAATTATATCTTTTTACCAGGTTCATCGATTGGTAGTTGTGGATGAAGATGAAAAGGTCATCGGAATAATTTCACTATCCGATCTATTATATTATTTGGTTTTGAAGCCATGTGGTTTGTATTTCATCCTATTTTACATGTTTAAATTTTATGTACATTTTTTAGATATTTCATAATCAATTACATAAATTATTAATTATTTCCTTGACAATTCTTTTCTATGTTTCTAGTGTAATAGTAAGAACAAGTAGTACATAAGCATTCTTTTAGAAATTTTATGTAATGTACTTAAAAAATGTATATTATTTTTATTCAGTAAAATTTATAATTCTTAGATATAACATGTATTATGTATTAATATTTAATACTGTAGCTTGATCATCTGCAAATGTTTTTTTTATAAATATCTAGTTGTTGGCTAAATGTACCTCAGCTCCATCTAATATTTCAAATAATAGTGAAAAATTATTATATTGAATATTTTTTTTATTTTACATTTCATCGATTCTGTCTGAATTTCTATTTTTATTGGAAGAATATTAATTTGAAATGCATTAGTATTACTTGTAACAAAATTAATTAACATATTAAAATTAATTTCATTTTTATTTTTGTTTATATATATATATATATATATATATATATATATATATATACATGTTGTAATGGGAATTGTACTCGTAATAATAATACATTTCCTTTATTTAATTTCTTATATCTATGACGCTGTTTAAGATAGATTTCTATAAACGAATTCAGTTTTAAAAAAATAAATGTAAAAAATATCCGTGATGAATATTTTCCAACTCCGCGGTAAGTGTACTATAGGTGTATCTGTATTATAGTAAATATATTACATATTATATCAATAAAGAATTAAAAATTTGTTAGAATATTATTTTGAAATGTAAAACTAAATATGTAATTTTAATATTTCAAATGTGTACTTTGCACATTTTAAAGATATAAATATGGTAAGGCTGGAATTCTAATGAACGTAAACTGTGTCAACTTTTATTTGAACTAATAAAAAAATGCTTGATTTAAAAAAAATAAATAAAACAAGTTACAGCAGAATTTGAAACGTGTATGTATTATTGAATAAACTAAACAAATATACGTATTCATAATTCAATTATTTATAAAATAAATTTTTTTTAAACAATTTATTTTATATTCAATGATATGAGTAGTTAGTAATTGAACAGTATGCAAACAAGTATATATTATATAACTAATAACGAAGGAAGATTATCTGAACGACTTATTTCTTATTATATGTTATATTAAATTAAAAAATAAAGGTAATTATATTATAATAAGTATATTATAATAATTGTATGTATGTAAGTATATTATAATAATATACTTTAATTATTATTTAGTAAAGATATGTTTTAATACATATTTGTTTGTAATTTTTTATAAATAATGTATATACATGCAACTTATAATTAATATCTTAGAATTATAACTAAATATGTTTATAGGTCAGGATTCCAGTAAATTTAAATATGGTCCTTTGGAAAGTGAAGGCTAGAACATGCTGTAATTTCAACAATTATATCTTAAAAACAAGCAGAGGTTAATCTTAATTTATCTCTTGATAATATAAATTCAAATATTAAGAGTTCACGATCAATACTATGCAGTGAATCTAAGGAGCATAAGTGGAGACAGTTTCCTGCAACAGGAATATAATAAAATAGTCTTATTTATAATAAAATTATAGTGATATAATTACAGTTGCAGTTTTAAATGTTAAAAATAAATAATACACTTTTTAAATACAATAGATAATAATTTACATTTTTTACAGAAATATAAGCACTTCATTTTATAGACGTCCGTGCAAAATTATTATATTCTCTTTCTTTATTGTGCGTAGTGAAGAAATTATTCTAAAAATTCCTTTTGTCCTTATTAATTTATCATAAAATTATAAATTATCAATTTATATATGAAATTATTGTCTGCCAATATGATAAAACATAATTCAAACTTTTTAATTGTATTACTCGTAAATATTGTAATTTATAATTTAAATATAATTTTATAATTATACATTCATGGTGCTTATATAAGTTTAATTAATATATTACTATATTTGCTAAAAACATACTTTTAAATACAAATTATATTATTATAAAATATATTGAAAAGAGTTAACTTAAAATAAATTAAATAAACTTATTTTATAGTATCAAAGATTTATTAAAAGTTACTATGAACATATAAACAAAAAAGTGTAGTTGTATGCTGTTATTACACCAAATTATTGTAACGTTAAGAAAATATAATCTAGAGTCACTTTTAATAAACTTTGACATCGTTAAAATACAATAAAATAGTAGTTGTGTGATCTGACACCATCTGAAAATATAAAAATTAATGTTTTAACGTTTCAAAATAATTTCATCTTGCATTTCGTTTAATTTTCATTAATAATATGTATTTATGACCTTAAATAAAAATTTTAAATATGTATTTGTTATATGAAAATGATAAATACAACAAAAAACTAAAAATTTATATATTAATAGTACATACTAATTAATGGTTCCATTTCAATTACCAGATGCAAGCATTGTTAATACTTAATCAATAAATGCTAAGAATTATCAATTTGGATATTGGAGAAACGATAAAAATGTAAAATAAATAAATTTTTCCAATGAAGATATTTATAAACAAAAATAAAATTCATATAGGACTAATAATATAATAATGCATTTTTAAATGAATTACACAAAAATCAATAATTATGTTAATTAAAAGTATTTTAAGCTGTGAAAATATACAGTAAATTTATTGATGTAAATCAATGGAAGTTAAATTATTTTAACTATGAAAAGTTAAAACTTTCATATTAGCATAAACAAAATAATAATATTTAAATCGAAAAAACGTTAAATTACGTGTATATAAGTCAAAAAACAAATAATAGACCAACTATTAAAAGATATGTACAAAATATTTATTATAAAAATATTATAAAAAACTTTTACATAATATTATATCATGCTAATAACTTTTAATTCATCAACATTAAGATAAAAACTTAATATTACCTTAATCGTTGGTGTAAGTTCTAATAAGAAAAATTTACTTATTTAAAGGCTACAAAAAATTAAAAGAATTATAAACGCTAGTTTTTTTTTCAATTACAATAAATATTCAATTATTAACAAAATTGGTGTATAATATAAACGACTAATATTGTATGAAATATATTGTTAATTTTTATCGATATTTTTACAAAAATAATTTAAAAATTTTTTAATGAGTTCACGAAGTTACAATACGTAATCAACAAAGAGTGATACTAATTTAGTCTAGAACGTAAGTTAAAAAAATATATTTCTAATTAATAATAATTTTACTGATATTAATAATATAAATCACTAAAATATCGAAAGGTTGTTTATTTGATGATCTTATAAAACTGTTTAGAATTTAAAAATCAAACGATTTATTGGTATATAATTAGTTATAATTAAAAATATTAGTATAACGTATAATACATTCATCTAATGAGTATAGGTAATTTGTAACAATTGATGTTTGTAAATAAGGATAATAGTAAAAGAATGAATGCATATAGATGTAGTTATTTTTTAGAAAACTAATAAATTTAAATATACAAAATTCACTTATTGTTAATGCATATACACAAATTCACATATTTACCACTGATTTACTTATGTATAAAATTTTAAAGAATTTATAAATTGTGTGATAAATAAATACATTCTTATAGATTTTAATGTTAAAGTGTAACATAACAGTTTTATAGAGTTTTAGGTTATATGGCAAATTATATTAAATGATAAAATTGACATGTAATAAAAGAAGTAAGTAATATTTATCATAAAGTATAAATAAAATTGTATATGGATACAAAAATATTAATAAAAAAATAATATTGAAACATAAGTTTTAGAAATATTATATAAATAAACAAACTTTTTTACTGAATGCTGTTGTCCCATCTATGTTAGCAAACTTAAAATTATAATTAATATTTTTTTTAATGTAATAGACATTTATTTAATCCATTACAGTATTACTTACTGTTCGAAAGTTGTAGTTTACTGGCTCGAACTGCCAATGCTTCAATAGCTTATATTTAACGCTCGCCCTAGCAAATGTTCGGGAAGGAGTTAAGTGGAAGGGCTGTAGAAATATCGTGCGTTTTGAGGAATATATGGTTTATTTTACAATTTATATACAATTACATTTTTGTTATATAATTATAAATATTCGATTTCTTGGAACGTTTTTTGTAATGGATGTTTCACTATATAAGATGCTTCTTGTATTCTATGATTTACTATTGATTTTGTAAGGATCAGCAATTGAGTGACACACTTCCCTTCGGCGAGTGTTCTATATCGTTTAATGATTGCGTCATCCCAGTGTCACACGGACTGGCTATGGCAATACGAAATTATGTACTCACAGTGATGTAGGTCTTATGTGTCGTCTTGCGACTCTCAGTCTCAAAAGGGCTGGTGATGAGAATATCGTATATTATTCGTCGTCTTGTGGCATCTCTGTCTCGAAAGGGCTGGAGATGGCAATGTGGTGTTCATTCGTATTTCCTTATCGTAACCGCATTTTCTAGTAAGTTAACTACTGATACCTTGTTCTTGGCTTCTCTCCTTAGACAGCGTCTTGTATCTACGTCGTTCCCACTTTTAAGGTCTCTCGCAATGAATCCCCATTCAAGGAGCTCCTATGCTTTAGTTTTTCCAATTAGAGTGCGCCGCGCTGGGCAGCACGACTGAGCGTGCACGCCTCTTTTCCCACTTCAGAAGGAATTAGGTTTTGACAATGACAACATCGAAAGGAGCGCCTCTGACGGCATCGCCTTTAATTGGGAGACTCATCCTTCTCCTGGACTTCGCGATGCGGGGAGCTGATCAAGTGTTGCCGCTTGGCTTGTACAAGCGGCAACATGTGGCGTACTTGACAACAATGTATGCGTTATGTCTCGTGCAATTGAAGGCACACGTGTGCAGATATTGCTCGATGTCGCATGAACTGGGTTTCTAGCTACAATGATTTTTAGGAAGTGTTTTCGACTCGATTGTTTTCATATGTCTGACACACAAACAGCCCCGCGGCGTCCTTAGTAGGTGATAACAAAGGACCGTTTATTGAGCTAGAAACAATGAGCGCGTCTGTAGTGCGAAGAATAATAGAAGTGATTGTCCACGTGTGGCATTTCAAAAGTACTGACCTTTCTAAACCTCCAACGATCGTTGGAGAGTTTTCTTAGAAATTATGACCGATGAGTAATTTCCTTAAAGTGATAGCCTTTGGTAGTTTTAACCAAAATAATCATATACGAGATATTCTCTCAAACTTACAGTTTCGTAATCATACTGACTCGTAGCTTTCATTTTAATTCCAATCATAACAATTGCAAGTTTCACAATATTTTTATTTAAGAAACCTGTTATTTTATCTTTATTGTTATATAATTTCACTAACGTAGTCCGTAATAATTGAACTTAATATACAACTGAATTTATAAATTAAAAATACGTTGAAATTATTTAAATTGATAAAATAACTCACATGAATTAAGTATTTATACTTTTGTTTTGATTAATATTTAGGTTTTTATATACATTGTAGTTTCAATAAATATCAGTTAGAATTTTTTATTTATAAATATTTTTTATAACAAAATTTTGCTGTACATACAAGCAAAACTTTGGGAATTATTTTTTTTTAATTGATTTTTTCATTTCATTTATTCTTTATAATAGGAAGATACTATACATTTTTTATATTTTATATTTAAACAATATAATTCCTTTTTATTAAATTGAAAATTTTCACATTCACAAATATTAATATCATTCTTTGTTTGAAAAGTTTTAATAAAAAAATAAAATAAAATTTTTTAATTTAATAAGGAAAAATATTGGCTACATTAATTTGTCGAATTTCATTATTAGATATTTAATTGTAGTAAATTATCTCTATAAACTGTATAATAGTTTTTTTTATTAATTAAAAATATTAACATTAACTTTGAACCATATGGCAAACGAAATTTAGTAGTATAGTTCCATAGATTTTTTTAATCATCTAAAGTTATTATTTCTACATTATCTTTATCTGTTTTTTTTCGTTTTTTGATTTGATGTATAGGAGTATTATGTATTTTACATTTAGACATTTCATAAACTGAAACACTCTCTGTACTGAATAGACTTATTGTACTACATGGGTTTTCCATTTCAATTGATCTACGAGGATTATTTATTGCATTAATATCTTGTTTAACATGATTTATTTGAGGAATAATTTCTAAATGAGAGTGTTGTTGTAATTGAGAAAGAGTAGATAATGTATTACTATCTTTGATAGTATTTTTAAAACTATTCGTCAAAATAGGTACCTCAGCAACATTTGTATTTATAGATTTTTCTAAACAAGGATGTAATTTTATACATTTTGTTGAATGTAAAGTTGTTGGATCGAACGAAGCAATGGAGGAGTTTGTAGTTTTATAAGGTGTAGAAACGCTTTTAATTGGATTTGAGTGATTACTCGGCAAGCTATTTTTGGTTGGTTTAGGTTTATGTATTCCAACTAATTGATAAGGATGTTGACCATGCTTTTTAGATAATAGTTTATGCTGTAAAGATGTACCAGGCTGTGAAGCTGATGTATTTATACCAAACCTTGGAACTGTAGTGTGAGTTGATTGCGGAACAGTAATACAATTTCGGCTTACACTATTTCCTGATGATAGTGAATTTGCGATTAAAGACATTTGGTGATCACTTTCTAATTGCGAAACATGCTGATTATGGGTTGTTTTAAATAAAGGAAGTCGTGAACATGGTGTTATTTTTACTGATTTCGGAATTTGCAAGGACATATCTGACACTTCGTGTTGTGTATCATGTGCAGCTAATTTCACTGATTTCGGTTTTCGACGTATGATATTAGTAACTGGTGTAATTGATATATCAGGCTTCTCTTTTTCAATATTTAAATTACTGTCAGTAACAGGTAGATGATTTTCAACGTACATTTTTGAGAAATTCCCAGAATTCTTTTTGTTATAACTTGATTTTAGATGTGGAATAGTGTTTACATTGTCCTGATAACGATGAATAATATCTTGATATGTACCAGCTTGATTAAAATAATTCATTGCAGAATCTATTATATTTGCATTAAAACTTGGTCCAAACATAGCAGCAAGTATATTTGGTTCCAAGAATGGATTAATATAATACGAATTACTGGATAACGTATTCGTATTGGATACGTATGTAGTATTAGTAGATGAATGGTTAGAACTATATTCATTTTTAATTAATAATGAATCACTATTTATTAATTGAGGGAATTTTTGTATCCCTGGGGGTCGTCCACGTGGTCTTCCACTAATTGATGGACTCTTCTGAGATTTACGATTATTTGAGACAAATGACATATTTGATGATGCAGGCGAATTTGTAATTGGAGACTAAAATAAATAATTTCAATAGCATATATTACCGATGAAATCTGAAATTAATTTTCAAATATACTTACAGGTAGTATTATATCTCCAAATGGTTGTGCATGGGCATTTGGATCAATAAGTGATGGTCCAGTTTTATTTACTCGAATTTTTTGACGGCAACATTCCTTTGCTAATTCAAAAATATTTCCATGTATATTCTGTAAAAAAAATAAAAGTAAATAATTCAACAAATATATTGTATTTATTCCAAGTTCTTACAGGATTTCCAATATATAAGACATATCCATCTTCAAGCAATTTTCGCACTTTTGGAATTTCTAAAACTTCATATTCTTGTATATTTTTTATATTTTGATAAACATGATAAATATCTAATAAAACTTGCATTTGATCTTCTATACGATTATTACAGTGCTCCATTGAAGTACTTTCTATACTCATAGTTTTGATTTTATTTCGAAAGCATTGTAAACACAAGGTTAAGGCTTGACCAGATAACTGTTCTCTTTCAGAATCTCTTAAATATTTTCTAAAAATAAAAAGAAAAAAGCATACAAATTAATCGATTAATACCATCGAAAAATGAAAATTTTTATTATACATCATACTTGTCTGGATCCGGTATTTTTCTCAATTGAATACATAATTCTATAAGCATTCGACCATCACCAGTCTCTTTTAACACTTGCATTAAAAGTACAACGCATCTTGACATATGTGATGCAAAACTTCCAGGTCTATCGATTTCATTAATCGGAATACGCCATATTCCCTGAAATACAATATATATATATATACACTTAAATTTAATTAATATATAATATTCTTGTTAACTTACGTTAAAAAAATTAGTATTCTTTCTCTCGGCAAAAAGTCCTTGAATAGTTTGATTTTTATAAAATTGACATTCGTATGTACCTAATAATAACTGTTTACATTTAAGTATATTTTTAAAAATTTTATTATAGAAGAAAAAATATGCTAAACGATATATTGACTTATAATGTTCCGGAAACCGTAGAATGCATTGTTCTAGGCCAGAAAGGCAATATTCAATTAATTTAATATTATCTTCCTCTGTTAAATAAGTATCTGAAACAAATTTTATTTTTACATTTGAAAGTTTATTTACTAATACTTAGTTGTCGAAATAAATAACAATTAATTAAAATAAAACATATCATTAAAATACAAATTATAAAAGAATTGTTTATAAAGATATATATATATATATATATATATATATATATATATATATATATATACATACATATACAAATCAGAATATCTCAATAAAATTATGCATAAATATTTATAGCTGAATTACAAAAGCATCTAATATAAAAACAAAAATACACTACACCTAAATTAAATGGAATATAATTACTTAAATTTGAGTTTTGTTTATTAAAAGTCGGTTTATTACATATAAAAATACTCGAGGTAACTTTAGTTTATATCTTCTATTAATTTTCGAGATAACAATTACATGGTACGTACATATTTGAAGAAAATGATTCATTTTTTTATTTATAATACTTCTTAATTCGGTTATATGTGAATTTTCTATATTCATTTAGTATTTTTGCTTCTTTAAATATTTATAACTTTTGAATACTTTTAGATATTAATGTATTAGCAAAATTCTTTATCTTGGAATATTATTTTCTAAAAATAATTATCGTACATTTATTATTGATGATCAACCCTTTTAGATAATCTAATATATAATCTAAAATTCACCATCTCAAATAGCAAAATTTTTTTTATACATTAAGTATATTATACTTTTAATCTTTTGTACTATCATTAAAATATTGATCGGTACGGTTCTTAAATGTTCGACACTTCAATTTTATATTCTCTAACAAATAAACTATACAAAAATGTTATATAAATATTTACACACCAATAATAGGCCTTATATAATTAGAGTCAGCTATAAATTATAAAATGATATTGTATTTGTTTAAAAATTTATATATAAATAAATATAATTTTTATTCATATTAAGCTGTTAAATAATATTCTAATATTTTTACAAAATACTTAATTCAATTGTAAAAACAATAAAATCTTATTTTAAAAATCATTTACTTATACTGTTTTTTCATATATTTATTCTTATTCGGTTTTAATTATCAACACCTGAAATATATTCTATCTATTACTATAAAATAATTTATATCATGCTTTTTTATATAAGTAGTTTGATCGTATGGACAAATCAGTACAATATTATCAATACAAAATTAATTTTAATTATTATCAATTTAATATAATTTATTAATATACATACATTCGTTCACAGACTCTTTCTTTTTTCTGTCTAGATTGCTGTCGATTGAATCACTATCACTGTCAGTCGAACTAGAAGTATCTGAAGAATCATCGGTAGTGCTGGAATCATCACTACTACTAGAAGTAGAGTTATTAGTTTCGCTAGTACTAGTCTGAGTGGTAGTTGTACTTTCCTGAGAACTTCTACGGCTTAAAGCTCTTTCAATTTTTATATTCTTTTTTTTATCGTCTAGCTTTTCGGATTTACGTGAATTTCCCTAAATAAAAGATTGCTATTTTATTGATAGTATAGAGATTTATCAGAAACATAAATTTTACATTTTTTTATAAATATTATGTAATTTAAATTAATTTGTTACTAATTTAAATGTAATTCTGTGTATTTTTTCATAATATACATTATATGTATATTGCTTGTAAAATAAATTTAAAATTAATAATATTGTATCATTTTAATATATTCAAAGCGATTGCCTCGATAGAAGACTATATCAAGCAAAAACATTATTTATAGGATAGATTAAATAAATGAATTTATAAAACACAGAAATGACTGTCAAGTGAAAGAAGCAAATTAATGTAAATAATTTATACACTTACTGTATGTAAATCTTCATTTTGAAACCACTTTGTTTCACATTTATTTTTATCTGTGTCATCGATTATTAAGATACTTTTTTCTTCGTTTAATTTTATTTCTTCTTTTAACGAGTTATCCATAAAATATTGAATTATTGAATTTTTTGGTGATGTTATAACAATAGAGCTAAATGAATCATTTAAGTCAGATTTAGATACCGGGTTTTGTTCTTTTTGAGACTCTTTAGGTGAAACTTTATCACATACTTTTGTTATAAGATCATCAATTAAAGCAACAACATCCTGCATTAATTGCAAGTGAGACATACTACTTAGTTTTAATTTTTTAACGTCACTTATTGTAATCAATTCATCATTATATCTTTTTCGAAGGTCTGATTTATTTATATTTATTATTGTTGGTTTGGCATAATAACTAATAAGTTCATCATCTTTTACATTAAACGATTGCTTTCGAATTGTAATGTTTGTTTGATTTATTACGTTATTGCCTTCTTTTGAAATGCTTTTAAAAATCGAATCGTATTTCATAAAAGGATTTTGCATACAATGTTTCAGATTATTTTCAAGTACTGTGGCAATTGACGTTTTAAGAGGTTTACCTTCGTGTTGATCTAAATACTTTAAAATACTAGCATGAATTCTATAATAAACTTCCAGGGCTTCAATCGATAAATTTTGTGGATTTTTATGATTAATTCGCTTAGGATATTCAGCATTATTTTCGCAAAGTAAATCACTTGCCTGAAAATTTTGTATTAATATTAAAATTAAAATATAAAAATTAAATGAAAATATTTTATTACTAATCAATATTATGTAATTTTCTTTTATATTTTTATATTCTAAATATTTTATTCTCTATTTATTAATATATAGAAGCGCTCTTTAGTTTCTAACAAAACTAATTATATATAGGATTTTACAATTTCTAAAAGTCAATTTTATAATTTTTTAGATTTTGTCATTTCTAATAAAATAAATATAAGTTTGTAAATTACTTTTTCATTTAACACGTGTATTTTTCATGTCAAACGGATAAATATTTTTTAGCCCTTAACAAACAGTACTGTATCATAATAATCAAAATATAAAAATACTCTTGAAGGAAAAGAAAAACTAAGAAAATGTTACAGAATAAAAAACAAATATATAATGTCAAATTATTTTGTCTCCCACAGTCATTTATTTTTCATTGAAGTTTTGTAGGATTTTGATGATGATGTATATGAATAAAATTTTAAATTTCTAGAAGTTATTGTAATTCTGTATTTTAATATTTTTAATGCGACCCTAATTATTTTTATGTATATTTGAATTATGCAGTGACGCAAACGGAAAATTTAAAATTATTATTAGTGGACTTTTAAAAGAAGATACAAAAATTAACGGACAACTTATTGTCGCATCTGATATATATTAATCATTGTTAGATTATTCGGGTTGTTCATTATATATATACATACATATTGAATGCTTCGCATTAAAGTAAATATGCAAACATTGACAGTCATATTAGTAAAACTTTTATTTAAATCTTTAATTTTAGAATACATTTATGAAACTAACCTATTTTAAGTAAATGTAATAGTTTTATTTATATATTACTTTTATTCATATGTACGTAAAATATTTCATATTTTATATTTTTACTAATACTGTTACCATATTTTTAATAATAACATAAAAATAAACTAGAATTAATATATAATGCTTTTAAGGATAACTTTTTAGTGATTCAAAGGTAGGAAATTGCTACGTCTTTTTTAAAACATCAGCTACATAATATATCTTTAGTACTTTTAAATAAAATAAATTTTCAAATAAATATATCAACTATTGTTCATAATTTTATTTGGTTTAAGAATTTTTATTTGACATGAAGTTATATTAATTAAAATAATTAATGTAACATTAATATTTTTCAGTTTAGCGTTTTATTTTCTCAGTGCTATTATTAAAAAATTATTGAAAGCTCAGTTTGTACGGAATTACACAGTAATTAACAATATTTGTATATATTGTAAGATTAATTTGTGTAAAGTAACTGTCTACGGGCCCGTCTGTATATATAGCAAAATGACATCCAAAGAAGTACGACCCGTATCTTTACGATTGAATATAATGATTGTTGTATACTATGAAAAATTCAAGTACGCGTGAATATCCGATCACTATTTATTGGACTTTAATTTTAACAAAAAAATGATTTTGTACTGTGTGAAAGAATGTAGTCGTCCATATATTTGACATTAAATAAACACTTTTAAAATTAAAATATACGTGAATCTTTTTGTTTTGTTCATAAATAATTATTTTCATATATATACTATGCATATACATATAAAATATATTAATAAATGTCGATATATATGGTGCTTACTATACAATTAAAGTAATAATTATTAATACCTTGGAATAATGTTTTAAAAAAATCGGTGGATCTTGATTCTTCTTTTCCGCAATTTTGGCTAACATATATTGATATAACCATCGTTCGTCTTGCTCGTCCATTCCTTGACAAGCAGTATAAATATTGTTAGCAGATGCAAAACAATCTTTAGCTTCATCAAGCATCTCTTCCTTCTTTGTTTCTAAAATCCGAAATCTTTTCATATTCAAAGAGTCACTTTCTTGTTTTAATAAACGCGAACAAAAAGAATGGACGGTATATAAAAAGTTTCCAAATTCAGTCCATATCGTCAGATGAGACGGCACTAGTTCAATTGCGTGCTGATAGCTTCGTTGAGCTATTTTAGCTTTTGCCAGGTACTTTTCTTCATTACTAAAAACATTAAAGGTACAATGATTAGTTACTTAAAAGAGATTAACAAGTATTTAAACTACAAAATAAAATATATCCGATAATATCTACTAAAAAAGAAATCCTAATACTCTTTCCTACTTTATAATTAATACGGCTAATAAATGTTATATTATGCATACAAAGCTCTTATTTCTATAAATAAGAGTAGATATTTTATCAAGCATAAATGTGTTATTTAAAATTCACATTTTTATATTATACAAAATAAATAAAAACTAGTTTAAGTTGATACATATATGTTTAAACTAACTTTAATTAAAAAATTATTTGTATTACAAATTTTTTTATTAATTTTTAAATAATTCAAGTTATATTAATGAAATTATAAATATATATGTTTTTTTCGAATTTGATTATAATAATGATAAATTAATACCTACGTTATTTATAAAATATGTCTTTTGATTGTCCTATAAATATTAGTATATGAGTATATAATAGTTGAGGGTTTGTTTTGTGGCTCGAACTGCCAATTCAATAGTTCAGTGGATTAGTCTTTCGCCATGGCGATTAATAGGAAAAAACACAAGTGGAAGGGCTGAATGTATGTACAAAGTATATTCTTAAGTTAAGACTTCGTTTATTCTGGTTTATTAATTATTATAATATTGCAGTTTTATGATTGCTTCAAGTGAGAAAAAGGAAATTATTCTATCGCTGTGATCAGGTTGTTTCTTCGAAGTGATGGCGATGTCATTGATATTATGGAGATTAATGTGGATGTTGAATGTCGGGTTTATGCTGATGTTGTAAGGATCACCATGAGTAGTCGACTATGCTCATCAATGAGCATGGGCAGATGGTAATTGTGATTAGTAATGCTTAGTAGGGGGAGTAAACATACTAAAGGGGAAAAAATAAAGTAGTCTCTGTGGTAGTTGCCACATACTTCAAAGGGGGTGTGGGAGTATTGAAGAGCTAGTCACACGCAAGAACAATAAATGATAAACCTTCAAATGTGGAAAGAATTGATAAAACTTAGTTATAGTCGACTATTTGATAAACTGTAGTTTGGCCTTGACAATGTAATTAAATCGTTTTGGGCGATGTAAGGTTTTCAGGCTTGGTTGGTTCGAGAGAGCGTATTACGTTACCATTTTCGGTAGACTTTATATGAAACGTAATTCGAGCGCGGGTGACCAGCTTGTAAAAATAATGTATCTATGAACTACCGACAGGTCTTGTTGTTTGGCTGCGAGGCAGGCGCAACTTATTGATTAGAATTCCAATGGCTTTATGTTAAATTACTAACCTGTTATTGCAGATTCTTTTAATAATGCACGTATATTTTGTAGGTTGATTGTCAAGCATGCGGCTAAGTTTCGTAGTCGCAAGTAATATAATAACTGATACTATATAGATTTGAAAATACACTGATTAGTAATAACAGATGAGTGAACGAGTGGTAGAATTTCAGTGAGCTGTAAACGTACAGTGCCTCGGTGTGTGGCGAGCTCTTCTTAAATATTCGCGTTGCAGCTTGCAACGTCGACAACAATGCTGATGGTTGTTGCTATCCCGAAAATCTGAATGATGTCAGAAAAAGAAACCTCTAGAAGTTTCATCGGCGTTGCTATGCGGAAATATTGTAGTACATTTGATTTTATATCGTGGAAAAAATTTCCGAATTCGTTGAGTCGTGGTTACAAACAAGAGTGTCCGGTAGCGTGTACTGTTTTTTATTTTGAATTCGTGAAGACTGCTTCAATCCCAAACACAGACCAATAATTCAAAAAAAAAAATTTAACAATTGTAGTTTAATAATTTAATTTTTAAAAATTTAATTAAAGCATTTTAATAAAATATAATTAAAATATTTTAAGAAATGAAATAAGGTGCTTTAATTTTAATATAAATTTTAAATATACTATACAATCGAATATTAATTTATCATTTTATTGCTAAAACAGAAACTTTATAAGAATTAAATTTTTACATGTATTTTTCTGTACATTTTATTTACGTATACAATACTTTATAAAAGCAACTATACGTCTGAATCTTATATTAAAATCTTTCATATATAAAAATACAAGAAAAACTATTAAATTTATTTATATTTATTATGCTTTGACAGTGCCATATTAGATCATTTTTATCTACAGTTGTTTCCGTCTCATTAATTAACTTAATATAACCTTTTAACATAATATAACATTCGTTTATTCGCAAGCGTCCAAATAGCTCTATATTATAAAATGTTTTATCATAATCAATTCTAATGTTATAATAATTTTTCTATATTTGTATGCAAAAATAATAATTATATTGCCAGTTTGTATTATAAGTTTGACTTATAGGTTTTATATTTGTTTAAAATAAATCAATTTTAATTGTTTATTCTTTCTCCCAATATATGGAAGACTTGTTAAGTTTTTATTTTAATATTGTTCTTAAAATATTTTAAAGGTAAAGTAAAGTTTTAATATTTTACTCTACATAATGGAATTTCTTTAAGAATAGTGACTATCTTATCCAAAAAGCAATCTAATTATAATTAAGAATTTCTTTTTAACCAAGCAATTTTTATAAATATTTCATATTAACCTTGTTTTAGTGTAGTTGACATAAATTTAAAAGTATTGAGTTAATTTATATTGTTTACTCTTACATACGTACTTTGCATTACATTCTCTCGTATTTCATCATGCATGTTTTTCTATAACACATTTTGAACTTGGAAATATATAGGTAAAACCAGTGAATTTTCTTTAAAAAAAATACATCATAAAAATAATTTTACAAAACTGTTAACCTATAATATATAACAGAATATTTACCAAAATTATATATTTTATAGGTACTATAAATGCATGATATAAACGTATAAAAAAACATTTTTATTGTATAAAGTATACTTATTCGAGATTGTAAGAACGGTCCTTGCCAATAAAACATCTGACAAAACAATATCGTTAAATTGTCGTTTATATTTCAGAAAATTGTTGCTCCTAACAATCTAGCAATAGTGTCATAAAACATCTGGCAAAACAACGCAATAAACTCGGGAAAACCCAACTCATTAAGCAGCCGCACGGACTCGCTCCGATCGGAAACTAAGATCTAACGGTATGTACTGGCCTCTCCCCTTTCCCTTGTCGACAAGTTGTCATGCTGTTGCCAGATGCACCAGAGGCAACGAGAGCTCTTTTTATAAACAAGTTTCTAGTAAATTTAATTAATACTTCCTATTTTTATTTTTTTATTTCTTTTGAATTAGTCTTTATAATAAACTCTTCTAACTTAAAAATATATTTTAGACTTTATAGAGCAAGAGGAGAATTTGTAAAAACAAATTATTTTTAATACCTTTAGAGGCGTATATGCAGGATTAATTTTGATAAAATAAATTTTGTTTAAATAACTAAGCTCAGTGTTATTATGAAAGTCTTTATTAGACTGACAATGCTTTAACTTATATTATATTTAGATTTTATAATTCTATAACATGCTTGATTTTAAAGCTCAATAATTTTGTTGAGATTATTTTTCATATAATTAGACTTATTTCTTATATATCTGTAGATTTTACTTTGAAAAGCTACTTTTATTTGGAGTACATAATTATGGTTTTGATAATTCATTATTCAATTGGAAGATTTTTCAATTAATTGTCTTTGTTCGTGATTGAGGCAGTTTTTTATTCAAATTTAAAATTGAGAGCGATTCCAGGAATTCTTCCGACTCCATAGCGTCTAATATACGATAATATTTCCACATAGCCACATCTTTTTCGGCATAGCCACAGGCTATAGCACTGTTGGCGGCGTCGCAAACTATGCTGCGAATATTTAAGAGCAGCGCACCACGCGCCACGTCTCTGTACATTTAACATCCATTCAGTCACTACACATCTGGCTACGGTTTTTTCTACTATCAATTCAGTTTAGTGCTCATTGTAATTATACACCTCGTACATTAATTGTTATTATTAGTTAGTGCATCTCATATCAGTGTCACTTGCGCCAGCACAAACTTCAATTGAAATCTCCGACAATCAAGAACACAAGAAAGAACTCGCACCACTACAATACAATAATTATCTATCACAATAGAATCAACCTACAACGCAACAATATTATTATAATTCATAAGCAGAATAAATAATAATTGAACCTAAATATATTACATTATACTTTTCAGCCTTTTCACTTGTGCCTTCTTTCTTTCTAATCGCTATGGCGAGAGATTAATCGACTGAACTATTGAAATGGCAGTTCGAGCCATAAAATAAAACATTCATTTTCGAATAGTCGTAAAAGGTGAAATCATTACTGAATTTATTTAGAGTATAATTACTTCATGGTTATTCATGTACTAAATAATGAGATTCACAAGATCATTATGAAAAGTAGTCTCTATAGCATTATAAAGGTTTTTTTGAAGTTTTCTTAAATATAAAACAAACCTCTATAATAATGTTGCATACTTCATATTAATTCTCATTGATAATATTAAGATCAACATACTGCTTTCATTTTATAATCTATAAATTGGCAAAGTTTGTTGAATTTATCATTCTTTTACAGTTATACCAAGTGTACTTCTTATCACCTTTGAAAAGTTGATGCACTGACTTATGATATGTACCTCATAAAAGTTGTTTATTTCTTTCAGCTTTAAATTCACTAGACTTTAAGTTATCAACTACAAAATAATGAATATCAAAATGTTTGCATGTCTATGACTACTGTGTCATTCATTAGTTCTTTTATTTATTATCTACACATATCTGGTTATACGACGACATCTCAGAGGGATTAAATATTTCTTATTATGTACAACTACGTTACCTTTCCCTTTTAAATTGCTGAAAATTTTTTTTTAGTTGTTTTGACCAAATGTGTTTTTGAAACCTGTTTCCACGTATCATAGTCTTTATATTTATGCATTCAACATATACGTAATATTTTAATTATGATTATAAAATATTTTTCATTTCATGGATTCAATATAGATTCAGATATTAATTAAAGTAATTTTTTGAAAAAAGTTTACATGTAATAATGGGGCAATATACTACTACAAATTTAGATGATTTATTTAACCAACGATTGTTTTAAATATAAAGAATTTTCAGATTATAACATGAATATGTAACTATATCATATAAAATGATAATTCTGATAACATAACAAAATTTCAGAGATTATTTAAATATTAAAAATTATACAATTACAAACTTACATATTCGGTTGAAAATTATTGAGCCATGTTTCCATTAATGTGCTAGTTGACATTGCTAATCCAGCCCAAGAATTCAGTTCTCGTGGATGTAAACATAAATCAAATATATAATATTTAGCTGCACTCGACCATGACTGATTTGATGCTGCCTTAAAATAATGATCAGCAATTAAGTAATAAATATAAGAAATATGATTAGGTAATGATTTCTTCACACTAGGTAACTTGTCTTTAGTCCCAAGTAAGTAAGAACTCATTTCATCAGCTATTTTCGTAGGATCACTATCCACTGGAATATGTAGACATATTTTTTTAAATAAAAGAACAGTATCCAAATTAATAGAATCAACTCGTTTGGATTCAAAACTAGGTAAAACATCTGGCTTATAAAATTCGAAAAGAAGTTGACAAGTTTCCCAAGACAAATTTATAGTAGTTTTAATGTGTTCTTCAATATACTTTGGTTTTGATCTAGAACCAGTATTAAATTTTGATGGATGTCCATATAAACAATAAATTATCTGTTCCACCGATTCTTTTAATTTTCGTTTAATGGTTGCATACAATGGAAACTGCAATCTAGGTATTATGAACTTTAATATAAATAATAAAAGTTTTCCTTCGCATATACAACACCAACCATGGCGACCGAGAAATTCATGTGCTTTTAATAAAATTGTCACAGATGCCGGAAAATCTTCATCATCTTCTTCATCCGAATGTATCGAGTTATGCATCTTATATTTTAAAGTTGATACAGATTTCGCTCGTTGCTTATCTTCCTCGCTATTCCGAAAACGGTAAAATGATAAGATATTTAATATAATATAATATCGCATAAAATGTTTATGTAAGCTTACTGTTGAAGAATAAAATGTAGAATTATCCAAGGTGAAACACTTTCTATTTGCATAGATGGTGTATTATCTAATACATCTAATTGATGACATACAATGTGAACCAAATTTTGTACAAGACGTGTTCGACGAGACTCAGATAAATATCTTACTAAGATGAAATTCAACATTATTATAAATATATTTTATTCTATTTCGAACAAATTTTAATAACAAAATTCAAGAAATATTTTTGATTATAGAATATACTTTATTTTCTTTGCTTATTATATGAAACAATAAAAAATAACTACTGTAACAGAGGATTGATGAAAAATTTTTTAAATTTTTCTATTCAGTATAGATCATATTTAAAAATTATTTCAAAAAGTATTACTTTTGTTTTTGATATTTTTAGTTATAAACGATGTCGAATAATATTAATTTATTTTCATTAAAAGATTAAAATGTAAAAAACTACTAAGTATCATCAAAAACATTTCTAAAACAAGAACTACAAAAAACATATAATTGTAATTATATGCGAGTGCATTAAATAATGTAATGTTTGATGAGAAAACGGAGAATGATTAATAAAAGTATAATAGATAAAAAGAATCTGATTTATTCTTAACGCTTAATGTGATACAGTGAGCATAAAATGTTAGATCTTCACTAGTTATTATTTATTTACACAGTTTTCTATCATCGATAAAACTTCATCAATGATTTACTTATCAAGACTTTTGTAAAAGAAGATTTAGTTATTTACTTCCACGAGTTTAGTAACAAATGAGATATTGGTTCGTTACAATAAACAAGACATAGATTATAAATATCAAATTATATATATTTAAACTACTTATTTGTTATTATTGTGTATGTAAGAAATTTATATACATAAATGTTAAAGTGAAAATAAAAGGTATGTATAAGAAGAAAAGATAGAGAATTAATATATACATTGCGCCATGAACTATTGAAGTTTCTGTTGATTTTGTTATGTATTTGGATTTTTAAATAAGCATTAAATACACAATGATTTTGTCTGATTTCTTTATATATTTTTGCATAATTCATATTTCTAAGATGCTCAAGCATTCATCTTCCAGATATATTTACTTTTATTTACAAATTTGAATTTTTTAATAAGTAAACTATCACAGTTTATATTATTTCTATGCTCACTGTGTTATTTGCTTATCATTGACAAAATCATAATTCAGACGTACTCACAACTAAAATAGTCACAAATCTTTTAATAACAATGAATTATTAACTGTCAAGTATTATAAAAACAAGTACAATTTACATCCCTATTTAGAATTATTTTTCATAGAAAATTAAAATGTGAAATTAAGTCACTATATTTTTATTTATTTATGAACATACTAATTATATTAAATTAATGAAAAATATTAAATTATCTTACCAATGAATGTACTGACTTCTATAACACATGCCTCTAATTTTTCTAATGCAAATAAAACTGACCTCGTCCACTTATTTCTTTCATCCTCATTTGCACAAGAATTTATAGTATGCAAATAATTATACCATGATTCATGAAGACAGGCTTCTGCCCATACGTAACAATCCTAGTAAAATAATATAAGCATATGTAAAATAAATTTATACTAATAATACAAGACGATACAGAAAACTTTTATTAAAAATATATTCCACTCTTTTAAATCTTCCATATTCTTAATTTAAAATTAGAAAAAAAATTTCAATATAAAATTAAAAACAAAACTCAATTATAAAATAATTTTTAATATAAAAATTATTATACAATTTCTTTTTTTAATTTTTTATTAATAAATAAAATCTATGAAAAGTATTTTAGATTTATTAACTAGATAACAAAATTATATTCATAATATTGGATGTTAGTATATTAATAAAGACAAATATTTTTATACAAATTAAATCCCTTATAAATATTAATAATTATACAAATTTATTGTAATATTCTACATAATAAATAATAAATCTACATAATTGTTTTCTAATTTAAAAAATTATTTGGCTATTATGGTTTTGTATACATAGAATTTTGATAAAAAAAAAAGTCAAAATGTTCCATTGATCAGATATCATTCGTTTCTTGTGGTAACGAATTTTTTTTAAATTATTTTAATAATTTATTATCGCTTTGTAAAAATTGTTGGCGGAATGTTATTAAGGTGAGTTTTATTAAACTTTAGTATGATATAGATTAGCTCATCATGATTTAATTAAATTAATGAATTTTAATTATTTATATAATATTTGTTCTATAATTATCTGCTACGATTGTTATTCTCTTTCAATTTATTTCTACTGTAATGTATAGCTCGACTTTGTACTCGCATGAGTTTATATAAGATGATCAAAATGAGACAAAAAGAAAATAAAAGTACTTTAAGAAGAATCGGTCTTCATATGTATCAATGTTTACTACAAGACTTTTTATATTTAGAATAAAAGCTTTTAAAATAGGATATAAATACGAAATATGTTTTTTAAATTTATTTATTTACAAATGAAATTGGATTATTTCTTTAAATAATAAGTATATATATGTGTATATGTATACATACGTAACTGTATATTCTTGATAATTAAACATATCTGACTTAATATTTTCTTCATTTTATAAAGTATCATAATAAAAAAAATTAATTAAATGTAATTAGACATTTCGTGGTTTTATTGTATATGAATTAAAATATATCTTTATTTACATTTATAAAATAAAAAACATACCTCGTGTTGTCGAAGTTGCCATAAGGTATCTAATAATATTTTCAAATGCTCTACCCGATCAACTGGTACTTCTTTACATAATAAAAAGTTATTTGTATGTTTTGAAAAATGAAATGTTTCTTTTAATATATATGATAGTTCTTCGTATTGTTTTTCATGATAAAGATATTTTATTTTACAAAATTTTTTCCCTCTATAATAATTAATATATATAGTAATAAAAATAATTTAATATAGTTAAGTACAAATACAATATCACCTTTGAATAAATGTTAGCATTTTTTGAACATTCTTTATATTTATAGTAGAATTATATTTGCAGTTTGCCAATTTAAGAAAAGGCTTACATACATCCGTTTGAATCCGTTGCATATGACATAGTAACTAAAATTGAAACATATATAGGAATTCAAATTAATATTTAGAAACAAAATAAAATATTAAATATTACCAATTCTAAAGTTTTCAAAGCAATCTCTGTATCACCTTGATATAAAAAAATATTTGCTTTTAGCCATAATGATCGTAATAGAAAATCGATAGGTTTTTCATTGTACATCTCATTTTTTGTATTGCAAAACATTATGTATCCTAAGTCCTCAGATAATATTCCAATTCCCAATCTATTTAAACTAAATAGACTCCAAATTATTAAATTAAAAGTTATAATAAAGATCATTCAATATTTATTAATACCTGCATGCTGATAAGATGCAAGGTTTAGACGATAACCATTTATCTGTGTACAATTCACAAAACAATAAAGTTTTTTCAGCATCCAGTTTTAACATACATTCATCGACATTTTCAATAAATGGAGAAGAATATTGTATATGTTTTCTGTAATTAATATAAAAAATAAGAATATGTATTATTATATAAAAAAATTAAATATGTATTTTGCGGTATATTATTTACCTCATACAAAAATAGGATTGGATATATAATTCAGGCAATTCCTCAGGCCATTCAAAATTCCATTTAGTACATAAAAAGTCTAAGAATTTTATTATTATTGTTAATATATTACTTTGTCCTGTGTGTTTATTAATAAATTCATTTACATCAATATTTTCCTGTTCAGTTCCAAAATATTTTAGTTGATCCCTACACCAGGAATTACAATTAAATTAATATGTATGCTTACTTACTTAATTAAAAAGTATGCTTTAAGTATAACCACAAAATATGTACATATCTATTGTGATCGATTGTTTCTAAAATGATAAATATGCAAAAGAACGTGCTATAATATTACAATTTATTTATAGCCTATTTATCCACGATTTTAAAACTATTTTGATACATTATTATAAAAAGTCGAATTATATTTTTGCTTACTAATCTTCAATATTATTAATTGGTTATGAATATAAATATGCTTTTTATGCTTTCTATTTTCTTCATTTATTTATACAATTTTCCTTACACTTTGTTCGGAATCGGAGAATTTTCCAAGACCTTTGACTCTCGGAAATTTATAAGGCTTCTAGTTCTAGAATTTTCCAACCTTCAAAGCTTTGCTTTCCCGGAATTCTAAAACATTCTAAAGCTTTATTTTCGAACGCCCTGCAATGTTTATCTAGTTCCGCATAGCAACACCTATCAATTGTTGCCAACTAATTAAGCTGCCGCGTGGATATTTAAAGGAAGCACAAGTCGAGACACGCGCTATTCAGCCATGTACTAGTCACTCAGGAGTTATTCACTTAATCAGGCTCTATAAGTGAAGCTTTTACACAAGGAACACACGGCAATTCCCCACTGCACAACAGTTAACAAGCAGTGAAGGGTGCTGACTGCATTACAATAAAATATTTGAATAAAAGAAGCATGGTATCGAAATACTCACTATCACGAGGGCATACTCTGTATTGAGGGTAACTATTAGACAATTCAGCCATACTTCCTTCAATTGAGTACGCACAGCCATACTCCTTACCTAGGAGTATGCATAATCCTTACAAGATCAGTACATCATCAATCGCTTCATCACCAAGGAGCAACTACATCGTTGTGATTGAACATAGTTCACACTCTCCTTGAGAACAATGTTTAACAAAGTCTGCACACACTGTACATATCGACAGTCCTTCCACTTAAGTCCTTACCTAAGCATCTGCTAAAGCGAGTCAAATATGTTATGTGTATTTGATATATAAATAAAGTAATGAAATTCTATATTTTATATATTTATAGATTTTTAAGAAAATTTGTAGATTATGAATACCAGAAATGTATAATTTCCTGTTCGAATATCGTACGATGAATCTTATAGTATTAAATTAAAAAATACTACCTTATTACATAATTACATCGCAACATAATTTTATAGTATTTTCATATCATAAACTTTAATAGAATAATATAATAGAATTTAATAGAATAGACAAGTATTTATGATTACATGCTAAATTTAAGTGTTGTCCGAGTTTGAATTACTCCATACATGCAACAAGCTATTTTATTATTTATAACATTTTTCAATTGATTATAATTTCATTAAGGCTGTTCTTCTAGATGAGATTTATGGTTAATACTTAGTATTATAAAAGTCCTAAATAATAAATATGTCATTCTATAAAAATCATTACATTAAGTTATTTAGTATTTTAGTTTATATTTCCGATTATTTAGAATTAGACAATGTTCATCAGTTTACTGGTGTGAAAAAAGTGTGGGTTAGTGGAAGAGGTTTTTATTGCGTTTTATTTTACAACTACACTATAATGATTCTACGTGGACTATGAGAATTGTTGAGATCTTGCCGTTCATTGGTTGTTACGACGTGGTGTTAGCATGCACTCATGTATAGGTAGGAGTTCGTAAATTTCCGGATCCTCTTAACGTGGTCCGCTTGGTGATGAATGTTTGCATGGAGAAGTGGAAGGTCGTAAATCTCTGGATATCTCTTAGTGTAGTGCCACGTGGTGGTCACCTGATTGCTAGTCTCCTCCTTGATGTCCTGTGGTGTGGAAGTGTGAAGAAATGGTTCGATACCATGATGTGGCGTTAAGTGGTGTCTGCTTGCACCGACTTGTGAAAGTCAACACTTACTGATCACTACCAACAACTGCTTCGTGCGCTCGGACACTATGCGTAAGGTTCAAAGTTAGTCCATACTGAGAATTGACCTGCAATCGCTTCGTGCGCTCGGGCACTATGCGTGAGACTCAAAGTCAGTCTTTAGTTTTGGAGGTTGCTGCCATCTCATTTGAATATTTTTCGAACCTAGTTATACGGTATCACTACGCCGTTGATTTCTTGAGCGTGATTACGTGAGTAGCTCCTGAGTGATTAGCTGATGGCTGAATAGTGCCTATCTCGTGGTACACATGCCTTAAATATTAGTTATAATAGCAGCTTAGTTAGCTGTTAACAACAGAGGCGGTTGCAGTGCTAGAAACAATTAGTAACAATAGATACGATTGTGCACTTGTTTTTTCGGATATAACGGCTTTTCCGGATGTCCAACGACCGTTGGAGGTTTTTCCAGAAATCATAAAATTCGAAAGATGAATAAATAGTATATCAGGATTTAAATATATATACTTAATTTATGTATAATTTATATTTTGATCATAAGAATCCTCACTTAACTAAATTTAATTTAATATTCGTTACATTAATAAAATTAGTACCGTGTATAATTAATGTATTTATTGTAAATTAAATATAACTGTGATACATATAATATATGCTTCATTGTAAAAATAAAAGTTGAGAGCTACAATTACGAAACAAAGTCTATAAATGTTTAATTGTAATTGAAATTGCATTATTGATTAGGGATTTTTCAAAACCTTACCCAAATTTGATAAAATTTTTATCTTAATATTTAAATATCATTGGTCATTGAAAAATATCGTCTGTTTAGCTAGTTGAAAATGCACTTTTAAAAAATATGGTGAAACATTTATATATGTTATCTATATTAATACTACACTATTTCATATAAATATATAGTACAGATATACTATTTTTACTATATTTATACTATACGTTACTAATAATACATATTTTCTATCTTTCTAATTTTATTTCATTTTAACTACTTCACAATTTGTAATAAAATAAAAACTCTCAACTATCAACATAAAATGATAAAAGTTAATTAATTCTTTTTAAAAATTGCTTTGAAACAAATGAGAAAAAAATGAAAATGTTTAGCTGTCAATGATATTACATCTTTTGTGTTATAGAATAAAGTTTGACATTTTACATATAATGCATGATTCTTAAACTCAATACTATTTATATTTACATTTTTAACAATTTTATATTTTCAATAAACTGCATAGTATTAAGAATTCAATGAAAACTTCCACATTCTCTGTATTGATATTTGACAGTCAATACATCAATATTGAACATATATATTGACATGTGTAATAATAGTTTTTTTTTTAATTTATTAGTTCACTTTTTGAAACTTTTAATGTACAACTTTTAATGCTGAATATTATTTTCAATAAGCAAATTTGCTAAATAAAAAGAAATCAGTTAAGTAAATCACAGTAATACAATCATTGATCAATTTAAAGTGAAATATTTTTCTACATGCAACATGATATTGTTTTCAAAATATGATAAATTTAGACACTATAGATTCTTGCCTAAAAAGGATGAGTATAATTCAACCTGTTGGCAGAAGATCTTTAGGAAATAGTATAAACTGATAAAAATGCTTGTTTTAATTATATGCAGATAACATATATATTACTATCGGAGATAAGATTTTACTTAATATGGACCAAAAATAATTATTCTAATTTAACGCATAGATGACCTTTAGTTATAAGCCATTATTTGAGTTTTTAAAATTCAGTTAATACGTTGTGATGATAAATACTATTGTATTATATTCTTGACAAAATATGAAAGACTCTTATTTTATATCCTAACTTTTACCAAGTAATAATAAAGTTCATCACAATTAAAAATAAGAATATAATATTGTTACTTAATATTAATATATTTCAAAGTATTGTAAACTTAAAACTAGTATAAATAATAAATAAACAAGAATTACAATTTGGATATATTTTCCATCTTAGATATAAAACATTGAAAAAGAATATAAAAAAATTCTTCATACTTATTTCTTTATGTGTATATATATATATATATATAAAATTAATGAAAGTTGACTAAATTAAAAATTACTTTAAAATTTTGAAAAAGTTAAGTTTTTAAAAAATTTAAATTAAAAAGGAAACTTTGGTTATGTCAATTTAATTATAAGTAATATATATATATCATCCATTTGAAATTTATAAGCGAAAAATTGTTATAATAATACATTTATAAACACATACTCATTAGTAGGACCAGCAGATTTGGAACATTCAATATTTTTTGTTTCATCAACAAAAGTACTTTCTTTATTAGCAATGAAAGTACATAAATCTATAGTATCCATAGAATCATCATTATTTTTTAAAAGTTCTTTTTTTGTGAACGTAGTATTATCAGGTCTACAAAACAAAATCTACATTAATTTAAAAATATTTTATGATGATATTAAAATTAAAAAACTACTAACAATAATGATGATGGAAAAATTCGTTTAAAAGTTTCTTCTAATAAAACACCATCTCTTTCATATTCCTTACGACCTGAGGTTCTAACTCTAGATGAGCGTTTTATATTACTATTACTCCATGCCCATTGTGTTAAAAAACATAGAGAACTCCTACGACGTTTCTTTACTTTCTGGCTCTTCCCTTTTTTATCTTTTACAGTTAATTCATCATTTTCAAATTGTTTATTATTAAAATTATGATTTATCCCTTCTAAAATTTTATTATTTATTACTTCCTTTTGTTTTTCATTTAAACAGTTATCTATATTTTTTTTATGATTTAAATTCTTAACATCACTAGATTGAGAAGCATTAATATCACTGTCTAATTTTTTTACATTAAACATAATATCCATTGGACTAACAGAATTTTCCTTAATCAGAATTTCATTCTTATAAAATTTACTATTACTTTCAATGTTATTACCTTCTAGTAAACCAGAATTATTTTTCACAGACATGTGAAAATTATTTTTTAATATTGTATTACAAGGATCAATTTTTTTATTTTTAATATAACAAATAGCTTGTCCTGGGATTTTATTTGTTGAATACAGTTCTGTACAAATTGTACTTGTATTATCAGAAATCTTAGGTTCATACCATTTGGAAACATTTAATGTAACATGGCTAATAAAATTCAAGTTATTATCAATAATACATCTATGCATGTCAACTAAACTTTTTCCAAGCTCTAACCAAGAATATTGTGATAATGCTCTTCTTAAAGACATATCAATAGGTGGTTTTGAAAATTCTATTTTTGATGATTTCATCCATTTTTGTTTAAGCTCAGTGGCTTTGTTAAGAAGTAAATTTCCCTCTACTTTATCATATTTGGTATCAAATAAAGGATCTTGCACCCAATCACTATTATATATTTTAATGTCATTAAAAATTTTTTGACGAAATGCTAAACCTTTGATATAGGTAGGATCTCTTTCTAAAGCCATAGAAATATATAATAAGCAATTCATATAATCAGGAATAGCATATAAAACAGTAATAATGTTATCCAATGATGGCCAATGATTCTTATTTCGTTTAAGACCATATTTATAAGCAAAACAAGCTAAATCTAAATTGGATATTTTAGTAGCCATTATACCAATTCTATACCAAAGCACAACATCTGAATCATCTAAATTAGCAGCTTCCCAATAATTATATAAAGCTTCATGATAATTCTGTAATTCAGCCTGTATACTCGCAATATTTTTAAAACATGAATATTTCAGTGATAGCATTGGTCTTGAACGTCCATCCATCACTTGTGGTTTATTTACTTTATCTAGAAGGTCTGTATTAAGAAGTTCTATTAAAACATTTAGGGCTTCATTTTTCTTATTAGTTATAAGTAATTCTAGTGCACGATTATATTCATTCAGTGCAACTTGCTCCTATAAAGTAAATAATACTATAGGTTAAGAATATTAATCGACTTCAAATGGTATATACTTACTTGAGCTTCTTTGGTAAGCGCATTAGTCAATTCATCTTCATTTTCATGAGTTATTACTTCATTCAATGCTATTATTTTCATCATATTTTTCGATAATTTTCATTAGCACTTATATCATAAATTTAAAACACTGCTAACAATATCAATCGTCATTTAGATTAAAAACTATAATTTAAAAATTTATGCTTCAAAGTTGTATCGAATGGAATAATCGATTCTGCATAGTAAACAATTATATTTCAGTTTATTCGTTTACTCAAGGCATATTTAAGACAATAATGTAAACTTATTGGTTCTCGAATAACGCGCGAACTTTCAATATGAAAATCTATAGGGTGTACAAGTAAGTATTAATAATAGTACACTATTTAAAACTTAATTTATTCGAATGACTACATTTTACTATTTCAAACTGTTATAACAATATATATGTAAATCTGAATCATTAAATAAAAATGTACTATATTTTCGGTTATTAACAATTTTTTAATATAAAAAGATTAATATACATTTATATATGTAAAATTTGTACAGTATAAATATTAATTGTAAATTTTAATAACTTTCAATAAATTCATTATAAATGAAGAGGTGATTCAGTATAATAAAAAAAAATTTTTTTTTAATTATATTTATGTATAAGTTCAAACTGAAATTAGAATACTAAGAAAGCAGCTATATAGGCATGAGCTATAAATAATAAATTCTAGAGAATTTTTAAGAATATTTGACCTGATAATACAAATATATTAGTATTTAACAAAATATAGACACTCCATTATAAAATTATCAAAAATATTCAAAGTCTAATAACGTAATATAAAACAAGCATAAAATTATTATTATTATTATTCATCTTAAAATTATAATGGTTCATTTTTTAATTAATAAGGTTAGTTTTAGTTAGTTTTTTAATTTTTTAATATATATACATAAAACAATAATATATAATAGGAATGGTAATTATAACAATTACTTATTTATTTTCCAAAAAATGATCAAATTGTTTTAACTAATTGACTATACGACAATTGAATATATATTGTAAAATATAATGAATAATAAATTTAAGCATTATTTATATAAAGTATTGAAACTTACAAATTTACAATATAAGCATCGTCGGCAGTTTCTTAACTTTATAAAAAATTGCAACAAAGGTCTTTTATCTTTAGCAAATGACATAGTTTATGTGTGTGTTAAGAATTCAATAATATTAATCAAAACAATACTCAAAGAATCATATACATAATAAAAAATCAGATACGTGTTTAATAATTTAGTTATATTAAAATTTATTTTAATATATATATATATATATATAAATCAATATAATTGTAAAGTAAGGTGAAATGTCAATAGTTTAGCTCTTCGAAATCTGAATATTAAAACTATAATACTTAACGTCCAAATAATTATTATCTATTATTAAGATAATATAATTAATATAAAAGTATATGCAACACATCTTCCTGAACAGTGATTCGATGAATTCGGAGAATCCAAATAAACGTCTTGATCCGATCATCATTATAGCTTGATAAACGACTATACGAAAAATTCATTATTTGTAACTTGATAGTCGATCAATTTTTTAAAAAACGGTAAACTACGTACTAAATCGTAATAGCAAATGTTGAAAATTATTGCTCCAAAAAATTGTTTTAGGAAAAATCAAATAATTCAAATATAATTATACATAAATAATATAGCAAGATTTATCTAAGATTACACGAAGTCTTGTATCACAAAAATGCTAGGTACTATCAACAATTAAAGTAGAATATATAGGATCAGAAAAGTAGACAGTTTCAAGTATGTAGTTTCAAGTATGCAGTTAGAGATAAGTTTTGATTTTTAAAATTTAGATAAAATAACTAATCACGATTAAATAAAGCTAAGCTACAATATATAAAAGAAACTGAATATTTTAGAGACACTGTACAAAATGTATCCGCTGATCCGGCTCGTAGGATCAAAATTGTTTCCGTTAACAACTCAGAGACCACGAAATGTTATATGGTAGCGATGTTCGATCAAGTGTAAGAGATAGTGTAATAAATTCAAGATTAATATATCTAGTTGTTACTCAATTTATTCCGTTAATTTCCAGATACAAGGATGATTATTATTACTGTTATCAATTGTACTGATATCATACTTATGTCAAGCGTACTTTAACCAGAAGTTTTAATTAACTAAGAAAACCACTAGATGTTGTGTGGGAGAATGCGTGGGCAAGTGGAAGGGTTAATGCACTGATTCAATAATTAACACATATAATTCTTATTGCTGTTTATTCCATTTTATTTCAATTTATTTCCAATTTAAGGATGATTAATTGTGATGAGTTATAATTATGATGGAGATAAAATTCTATTGGAGAACCAGAGGGTTGTGAAATTCCTGATCCTCTGGACGATACGTGTGAATTAGTAATTTACTGTGAAAAGAAATATACTATAAAATTATTGTCACATTACCTATTATTACTTGAGAGGTTATGAGTGTTTGTTGTGCTCTTGAACGAACACAACTGTTCTTTTCTGCGTCGTGATCTTGGCACGTGTTGCAGAGGCCTCTAATGATAAGTCGTGTGAGTGCGCACGAACCTAAGATTGAGGTTAGAGGAAATCTGCGCCACTTTCTGGCGCGAGTTGCTGGTCTTGCGTAGTGAGCATGCACAGGAACTTCTGGACACTAAATGCTTGTAGGTCCCCTTTCTGAATGGCTCGTGAATCGAGGAATTAATACTAATGCCGACTTACTTGAGCCTGTAGTGTTATCCCTTCTTTTCTCTCACGGGCGTAAAGGTGAAGTTCCATACTGCTTACACTTAAACTTTCATTTCTTTCTTTCTTGAGATGACGAAAATCTGGTTCCTTGGGTCTTATTTGTTTGGCGAGATTATCTGTATCTATGGTCGCGAATCACAGAATGAAAGCTATTTCTGCAAGACTCAGCTGAACGACTTTTCACTGTTCCTCCTTCTTGAGAATAGTCGTAACTTATCTGTTTGAGAATAAGAATAAGTGTTGGTACATTGCATTGTCCTTCTTAAATAGTTCGCTAACCCGGTTCCACTTGGGACCTCTTCCTGTATCCAATCCGAGTTTGACTTTGGGCAGCACGCCTTCATTTCTACTTCCTTCCGAGTTTATTCTTAAATATGCTAATCGGGAAAGTGTCGGAAAGGGGGGAGCTTTTACTATTGGTCATCTCTCCCTTCTCTGGGACTTAGCTAGATTAGGGGTCCTCTAGGGCGTGGTCGGTTGGCTAGTGCGACCGATAAGATTCGGCGTAATGAGAACAATGTTTTTCAGATGTATTGACCTTTTCGAGTGTCCAACAACCGTGGGAAATCGTGGCAATAAAACTGTTCTCGCAATCTCAAACAGATGTAGTATGTTGTTTCTCTTGGCGTAGTACACTGATGCTATTCCCTGGGAAGTGATTAGTTAGAAATTCTTACCATTTCTTCAAGTAGAGCCGCGTATTGTTCTATTATGAGCGATGAATGGCGCGAAGATTGGCTTGTGGACACGCGCTCCGTGCGTATGGCCACGTGCTTTGTTGAGGTTAGGCTCGGTAAGGTGGGTGCAAATGGCGCGTAGATTGATTCTAACAGATTACACTTTTGACCGTAACAAGCGCAGTTCCTAGAAACTTTAATCTTTAATAATAGCTATGATGCCTAAAGTAGTTGATACTACATACGAAGACTAATGTTGGACTCAGTTGAGGGACTTTTCTGCTTCCTTCTTCAATGAAAACTCGAACGAGTACTTGTCTTCGGGCTCATAAGGGAATTTTATACGTCTCTTTTCATTTAGGATTTCAACGAAAGTTTGTCTTTGAACTATGTTTAAGAGAATTTCCACTTTCTATTTGAATAAGGACTTTATCCAGAGTGATTGAATCTTGAAATTGTCTCTCTTAAATACATTCACTGACCATGAATTTCACTTTGGATACCTTCCTTTTTTTTTGTCCAATCAGAGAATTTTTCACTCACAGAGCGAGGGCAGCGCCTCTTGTGGCTTCGTCTTCCATTACGAAGCTTAGTCAGCTCTTGATCTTCACGGCAAGAAGAGCTCTCGATTTCATTACCTTTGACGCATCTGGTGATTGCATGACAACTTGTTAACAAAGGGGGGGGCAGTACATACTGTTAGATTTTAGATTTTCGGACATAGCGATTCCTTGCGGCAGCCTAAAGAGCTAGGTTTTCCCGAATTTTACAACTTGTTTTGCCAGATGTTTAATGACACCACTGCTAGATATTTTATGGGCATGACTTTTCAGAAGTCTAAACGACAATTTAACGATACTGTTTTACCAGATGTTTTATTGCATAGGAAAAGGTTCTCGCAATCTCGAATAAACACGATCTGATTAAGGTAATCAGAGCCAAAATAATCATATGCAGGTAAAAAAATAGAGGAAAAAACAAGGATGATATCGTTATATTATTTTAATTGATTATATGAAATAATTAATTTTAAACATATCCATCAATATATTTGAATGATGTACTTAAATGAAATTATTAAATTTAACATATAATTTTTGTTTTAATATAAAATTTCAATTTATATTTCTTAATCTTAGTAAATTAAAACTGAACATTATTCATTTCAAATTTTTTATTTAGAGAAATTTAATTTGATATGCCGATACACTGTTGCAATATTTTAACTATCAGAATTTTTTATAATTTTTAAATTATTTACAGTCAATTCTGAAATTCTTGAATTATTTTATTTGAGTTTTTTCTATTAATTTTTCTAGGCGTGGCATCAGTCCTTTTTTGTAATAGGTTATTTCATGAAAAATAAACTTTAATCAATACTATTATTATTAAAATATTGTTTTGATCTTCTATGATTATCATATAATAATGCAAGATAAAATAAAATAAAAAAATAGATTATAAAAACACGTTCTTTAGAAAAATATTGAATTAATTTAATTATTATAAATTAAAATTTAAGCATTAAGTAAATTCCAGCGTTTTAAACTACAAATTAATTTATAATAAGTAATATTAAATTTAAAGTAATGTATATAATATTTATAAATAAAACAATACACTATAAGATTATTTGAATTATGTATTTTTTAAATCAGTTCTTTGAATTAAATTTATTATTTATTATCTTTCATTAATAGTGATTGTATTGAGTATAGATAAAAAATGACTAATTTTATTTTAAATAAACAAAATATAAAATATAAACATATTACATATAGTTGCTGATTATAGTAATTATAACTATATTACATAGTTATATTACATATTGCAAAGATGAAAAAATCTATACGATTTTATTATTACTTACACTTTTCTATAATATGGAAACAAATACATACACACATGCAAGATACTATTGTTAATACCATTCATATAAGTGGTTTTAGTAATACATAAGTATGTTGATGGATTGACATTTTTACATAATTGTTCCAATTTGTATATTTTTAGATATATTAATATGAAAATTATTTAAGATGTAAAACGCATTATTATTCCTATTATAGTAATGATGATATTGTATTGATATAATTTATAAAATTAAAATAATTTAATAAGTTTTTTTAATTTCAATTTGAATTGAAAAAATATAGGTAAATTTTTTTTTTGTCAGTGTTAATATATTTATATATCATAAAAAAATACAATTATCTTTTCTTTTAGAAGCTATTACTCTAAGTGAATGATTAAAAATTAAAAAAATGAGTTTATATATTAAATATAAGAAAAATTAAATTTTGTAACGATTTTACATTTTCTGAGAAAAATCTGTGAATAAGAGTAATTTATTTTCATGATTTAAGTTTATAAATTTGATGTTATGTGTGTTTGTGCAAAATTTTCTGATGCTGCATGAGATCCAGAAGATGAAGGAGAGTCTGCTGATATAAATGTACAGTGAAGCAAATAACATCGAAGTCCGGCCAAACATATACCTGAAATGAAGAAAATAAGACTAACTATTTTATTTTTTATTTATTACACATTCCTTATATGAAGATAAATAAATACTGTTATTACAATATCTTAATACGGCCATTAGACGATATAATACGATTATCTTTTTACTTGAAATGAATTATTTTGTTGTTTCATATTAGATAGTTTGGGCTTAGAACAGGTTTCATTAAAAAAAAAATATGTATGATAATGAAAAATTCATTTGGAGTTAAAAGTATAAAATAAGTAAAACGGTAGTTTTTAATGATTTACGTGAAAAGTTTCGTAATATGTACTGATTATTTTATAAATTAAACAAGAATAAAAAATTACTCATTATAAAAAATAATATTGTTTTAATAACAGTAAAAATCGTACTGTTATTTCGATAACACTAAGATGTGCTATATTAACTTTAGCGCAATGCATAAAAATTACATTACTCTAGTATAGATGGTGCATTTTATAATGTTAACTATTCATAGATAGGAATTACAGATTGTAGATGATAATGTTACTCACTTAAAATTTCAATGACTACATCAAAATTATAGAGTTGTGTTGAATAATGTTCAAAAGCTGGGAGATGAAGCGGGTACTATTGAAAAGATGAATGATAGGAGTAGATTAAATGCCATAACGTAGATCTATTTGATAGTGTTATGTACATTTTCTTTATATATCTGAATTATTATAAGTTATTTACAATATCAATTTTAATAATGCTCCCGTTGACGCACTTATGGTATCGCGATATATACGTGTTCAGTAAAGGTTTTTGAATATGTGCTTTTATTAATTAAAAAAAATATTTAAATTGTATAGTATAAAATGTAATAAAAATAATTTATATTGTCTATATATTACATAGAAAATTTAAAACAGCATATAATTTATTGTAAGGAGTAAAATAAAGCTCGAGTATATGAGGATAGTAAACCAACGGATTTTCTTTAAGAACAAGTTTTTGTTAACATATGATTCTGTTGATTTATCTGTAAATATTCCAACTTCATATAAATAAAGTAAATTAAATATCAAATAATTTAAGAAATATTAATTTTAAACTACAATGATAAATATTTATTCATTTATTTTCAAATATAGCCGTATATTTTTAAAACATAATTATATATATAATTTGCTTCTTACATAATCTATATTCATCGTGTTACCACTAGTGAATGTCACTACTGGTTCATGATTGTCCTTTTAGTATATATGACTTCACATGAAAGGTAGAGTACATCCGGATATAAGTATATTTATTAATAAAAAAATTTATAAAATACACTTAAATATTAAAGCATTAAATAGATTATGAAATAATTAAAAATAAAATTTTTTATTCAGTATAATAAAGAATCTTCTGTTAAATATCCAATGAAACCAAGGTATTCTTTCAAAACAAATGTTTTAACATATAATCCAATGTGAAAATTCTTTATTTTTTAAATTATTACATGTAAATTATGCATAAATATTTTTTAAATATATTAAAATATTTTTCAGATAACAATATTAAACATGTAGTAATTAATTTTATATTAAATTTTATTAATTTTTCATTCAGTTTATTACCTCATTTATTATATATTAAAGACTAATTATGTTATTAAATATTATTAAATATAAATTATGAAATTTTACAGGATCTAAATGACAGGAATTTTTAAATGATAATTAATTACTGTTATTAATTTACATGAAATTGCAAAAATATTTATATTTATTTTTTATTACTTATACGTAAATAAAAATATTTAGTTAAGGTGATTATTACTATTCAGGATTTTGTTTAATTTAGCAGTAAATAATTTTTTTTGCGATCTTTAAAATAAATAAAACTATATACATAAATGCAATAAACCAATGCATCAGAATAATTTTGACTACTGCTATCATGTGTTCTTTTAATTTCAGTAAGAAAAATGGAATACTGTTACGGATTGCAGTAGTTTCTAAGCGGAATAAAAAGTGGGAGAGGTATGAGCTCGCGAGTATTTGTTTTGTAAAAACTGACTAACGAACTCAAAGAATGCTTATAATAAAAAAAACTCGAATATACTACTATAATTCCAAAAGTAATAACAAATGAACTCTACGAGGCTATGCCTTGTTGACGTCACGACAAATATCGGCATAGCAACGGCCACCGATGCACTATCGGCGCAGCTTGTTTGTACGAGAATATTTAAGGAGCTGTACATAATGCTCTCGTCCTCTTACTAGTTCAATCAAGCAATCATCAAGATCAAATTGCCGTTCTATAAGTCAACGCCATTTACACAGAGATCACCTTCAATTCACACAAAATCGCCGTTCTACAAGTCAACGCCACTTGTACAGAGATCATGTTTAATACATACAGACCGCCTCCACCTACAGAGATAGTCTCCCAATACCATCACACGGATCAAACTCACTTCACGTAAGTCACGCTATTATACACGTCCTTACGTTCCATCAATGCACCGAGATCGACTCCACATGTAAGCTGCGTTATTACACACCTTCTTACGAATCACTAACACACAGCTCTGTGAATTAAGTAAGCAGTAATACCTAGACCACGGCATCATTGCCATTCATCAGTAACGTCACACACCAACGTCACCACCCAGGCCTCTCCAGCTCATCGGTAGCAGCAACGGCGGCGTCAACACTCATCTATCACACCGTGACCCTCTTCACGGCATCATCATCCTTTATCAGAGCATCTCCCACTACCACTACGAGTCCTAATAACAAGTAGGAGAGTCACGCGCCACACTCAAGAATACACTTATAAGATTACCATCACTCACATCACCTGAAGAAACTCTCACCCATTCATTGTATCATTCATTCAATCTCACCTCAATAGACCACTGATTATTTATTATATCATTATATTCAAGTAAAGGGAAAATCAACTCATACAAAGGCAGTATTGAATTATTGCATTGTCCATTCCACTTGCCAGCAAGTCTCCCTTCACATCTCAGGGAAGCATTTAGTCTGATCTCAGACAAATACAGTTTATAAATAAAACTTGAGTTTATAAAATGGCATTTCTTATATAAGGCTTTACATGTTCATTATTACATGATTTAATTAACTGCTCATAACTGTACGATTCTCTGGGATCAGACTAAAAGCCTCCCTGTGATGGTGGATGGAGGCTTGCTGGCAAGCGGAAGGGGCAATGCAATAATTCAATACTGCCTTTAGAGTGTAGTGTCTTTCCTTTTTATTGTATATAATAAATATAATAAATAGTCAGTGATCTATGGATGTCGAAATGAATGTATGATACAATGAATAGATGAGAGTTTCTTCAATTACTATTAGTGACAAGAATTCTGTAAGTATATTCTTGGTAGCTTGGTGCTTGATTCTCCTACTCGTAGTGATAGTGGGAGACTCGCGCTGATAAGGGGCAGCGATGATGCCGCCTTTGCCGCTGGCGAGGGATGAGCGCTCTAGCGGTCGGATAGTGGGGGGACGCTTGTGTGACGTCACTGGTAGGTGGCAGCGATTATGCCGCTGGCGAGGGATGAGCGCTATAGCGGTCTGATGGAGGGAGGATATCCGTGTGACATCACTGCTTAACGGGTGGAAGGATTCCTCGTACTGTATACCGGGATATAGCTGGTCGTCGGTATTGGTGTATTAGTGTTGCATTTTACTTAGTTAACGGGAGCCGTGTATTAGTGATTCGTAAGAACATGTGTAATAGCGTAGTTTGCGTGTGTTGGAGTCGATCTCAGTTGCATTGATGGTACATAGGGACGTGTGTAATAGGGTTACGTACGTATTGGAATCGATCTCTGTAGTAGTACAAGCCGAATGAGTTTGGCTTACGTTTGACATGGACTCGATCTCTGTAGTAGCGTTGGTAGGCCGAGTGAGATTGGCTTCCGTTGAGCTGGAGTCGATCTCTGCAGCGTTGGATGGCCGAATGAGCTTGGCTTATGTTGAGTTGGAGTCGATCTGTAGAATGGCGATCCGATCTTGATGAGTGCTTGATTAAACTAGTAAGAGAGCGAGAGCGTCAAGCGCAGCTCCTTAAATATCCTAGTGCAAGCTTGCAAATCCGGTGACTACCGTATCACTCTTGCTATGCCGATTGTTAGAGTGACGTCACTAGAGTCTAGCCTTGGGGAGTTCGTCGGCCTCCTTGTTAGTCGGAATTATAATGTAATATTAGAATATTTTGCGTAATGAGGTTTCCCGATTTCGCAGAATTGTGTTTATGACTCGGCGCGCAAATATTTCTAACTAAGTACAGGTGTTTTTACCTCTCCCACTTTGTATACCGCTTAAAACTGCTGTAATCCGTAACATTCCGCCCACCATGCGACGGTTCTGCAGTTGAATCGAGTTCCAATTGTAGTGCGGCGTGTTATTCAGGACAGTTTGTGTATGGCTGTAGTTTTCCGCAACAGCTTTCGTTCTTTAATGGTGCGTTTTTTTATTGGTCACACATCCATAACTTATGATTCTTATTGCAGAAGACACGCAGGGAGTGAGATTGATTGTTATTCCAATGCTTTTCTCCTTTCTCGTTCGCCGTTGATGGCTGACATATTCTTACGAATTTCTTACCGGATGTGTGGGGTTGAGATTGAGCTTGTTGATTTCTTACTTCAGTAACGTTGTCTACTGTGGCTACTTGGACCAGTGTAAATGAGTTCAGTTGCACGAGTCTTGGGTATGTAGTGGTGCTCGCCAGTGATCGTTTCCATGTCGTTTCTGTTTTCTCGTTGACGTAAATTAAGGCTATGTTCACTGTCATGGAGTTTCCTGCATTTGGGATATCGTGTTGCGTTGATGCCTCTATGTCTTTAGGGATTTTGGAATAGTTATGTCGGGAAGATGAGCCATTTCTTGTGGATCTACTGCATGTGCCTTCTCTTCAGGCTTGGAAATTTTGCTTGTTTGTGTCGATTCGCCTAATTTTCGACACGGCTTTCTGACATTCGCTTCTGCAGTAGCATAGCATGTAAGCTCT